CCTGACGTTCTATCGCGGCCCTCGCGGTTTGAACAGCGGCACGGTCACCGGCAAGCTGGATATAATTGTCATTGGTAGGGGGCGTAAAAGTCGGTTTTTGTCCTGCAGCGGGTGCCTGCGGAACAGAAGGAGCCCATGGTTGGTGAGGTGGTACGCGAATTTGTATTCCGTGTTCCGCTTCCAAGGCCGTAGCGAGTCTATTATTAGGACCAGCAATGAAGGGATAGAACTCGGCAGGGATAGACTTTAGCTTTGTGCTCACGTTCGCAGATCGTTCCCCAGCGATTTTATTAATGGCCTCACGAGCCAATGCGGCCGATAGTGCGTTGCCTTCGACGATTACATCAATAGTGGCATCCTCGTCGTCTTCCAAGCTTCCCACGTTATCATCAACTTTTGGCAATTGGATTCTGGCACCGGATTTCTCCTGGATCGATTTGATGGTGGATCCTTGTTTACCAATTATATGCGCCCTGGCTGACAGCGGGATCGGGACTTTGATGGAAGTCTACGTAGGAAAAGAACTTAGCCATGCTATAGAAAACTAGATAGATTAATACAAACTTACCTTAATTCCGATTTGTTGGACTAGATCCCGAAGAGCCTGCTGCGCCTTATCCTGTGGTCCGGTTGCTTCAAACTTCAGGTGCCCACTGGGGCCCGGAACCGACGAGATTACAGCACGAGACTTGCGGTTGATATCCTTTATAATATCCTGGAGGGGGCGCTTGAGCTGGTTGCGAGGCATGACATACTGTGACTCTAAGAGAAGAGTTTCGACATTGCGACCAGGTATTGACACAGGCGGCGGAACTCCAGTGGGAGTAGAGACTCCCGAAGCTGGGGTGGAGGTTCGAGGGGTGCCATTGGCCGACCACGATGTCCCATTGGCCTTACCGTTCGCACCACCCCAGATTGGGGAAATATTAGCTTTCGACGCAGCCGTCTTAGGAACACCAAGTTCAGGGAAAGCCTCGTGCGACTGAGTATCGAGACGACCTGATTCTTGCGCAGGCTGCTTCCCAGCTGCTTTGGTAGATGGAGTCTGACCCCATGAAGATTTTTCGGGAGCATCGGCGGCCGAGGGAGACTTCAGTTCTTCATCGGGAACATCCTCAACAGTAACGTGATGGGAGTTCTCAGCATGCTGTTGAAGGAGCCTTGCTGCTGCGGAGCCTTCGATATTGCTAGTTTCGGATGCCATTTTATACGCTTACGGAGGCGAACGAAGTCTAACGAATAAGAGAGGATGGTCGACGGAAGGCGATAATTGTTACAGATATATAGATTTAGATAGCTAATGGTTTCATGTTAATATTCAAATACAGGTGAGCAAAGTACACAATATGATTTATTGGAAGCAATGTAGACTAGAAAGCAAGATAGACAGATAGATACTCACTAATCTATATATATCAATGGGGTGACACCGGTGAAAGCTAAGATTCGAGAACCAGGATAAATGGTTCTAGAAGCAGGGAACAATTGAGCCAATTGGGAGAGTAACACGTAGTAGTAGTACCAGGACTGTAGACGACGAGGAGACGGTAGAGATAGTTAAAATATAAGAGAGCTAGAACATGATGCAGAAGTCGGCGTATTCACGTTCTATATCTCAACGGAGTTATCTGATAGAGGAACAGTAGCTTAGACGGTTGAAGAAAATCCGCCGAAGGGTTTCGAATCAAGAGAGATTCGTCGAGAGGTGAGATGGATAGGTTTTGTATAGGTGATGCTATAACTAGACAAGAGTAGAGGGTGAGGTGGAAGTTTACTGGCCCAGGCTCTTGGCCAACAATTCAACTTTTTGATTTTTATTGATGCCAGGTGGAAGGCAAGTGCAATCCATGCGCAGGGTTGCACGTATGGAAGTACTGTAACGCTTACAATTGTATTAAGAAGTACATTGGTAAGATGCTTGAAGAAAAAAAAAAGAAGCCAGCGAACTCAATGCACAGTCCCCTCTCCCCCACAGCCCCACATGCCCATACCCCCATTCATAGAGGTAGCTTCCCCAATAGATGGCACCTTCTTAAGATCATTTGTGCCATCTGGCCATCTAGATTCAAGCCACAATCTATAAGCATCTTGTGTTTATGTACTGCCACTTTTACCAATTGGATCCCAGTTCATCATCATCATGAAGGAATACGGCTAACAAAGTAGGCACAGCTGTTCAGCTTCCTCAACAATATCTACTCTTAGTCTCCGAGTGTCAACTTTTACATGACAAGTCACATTTAAATCGAAAAGTGTTTCTTCATAGGGACTATGTACAGTGAACCTAGACTGGCAAAATTCAACGCCACCAAATATATGATTGATAGCCCACAGGCACGTGAGACCCTCGGGACTAACTACCTAGACATACTAGGTACAATTTCTCGAGCTGGTAAGTAGGTGGCACCACCATGACATGATTCCGGACGAACTCCGTAATTTAGGTCGGTGATGGCTACAGCTACGATCAATGACTCGCGTAGGAGAGAGAAAGTGTGAACTGGCAAGTATTGAAACTACTGGGCGTTAAAGGTAGGCAACGAGTAGTAGCTTCTATGATAAACTATTCGTGATCCCAAATATCTTCAACTGGGATGAAACCGATGCCCATCCCAGCCGAGCCCAATTTTTCAAGTATCAAGAGTGCAAATTTTCGAATGAGCAATGTTTAGCATATATTGAGCTGCCATGTATATGAGCCACGTGTCGATGTAGGCACCCTTAGGTCTATTAACAATGGTTATGAACGACCCAGTATGCAACTCGCCGAGGCGTGCATATTGGCTGATATACTCATTGATACCACAATGGCATTATATCAGTACCTGGCTCAGTTGACTATTCGACTGATCGGACCAAATCAACAGACGCCCAATAGCAATTTGTCAAATACTAACTTCAACGTTTAGATTTTAGTGAATAATCTGTCCTAAGGTACCCAGTTCCAATATAAAGATTTAGGGTCTATCATTCATCATAGGAAGATCTTACGGTAAAGATAGTTTCAGCATTAGTTTGCAAGGGAAGATCGAAGCTGTAGAGACCCTATGCTACAAAAGAGAATCCCTGCGCAAATCAATCATATTATACTTAACTCAGGTACCCAACAATGGTTCTAATTTTGCAGCGATATTCGATCTTGAGATCCCCTAACAAATATACCAACACTAGGTTTTCGAAAGTAGGCCAGACCCAATGAAGACTCCCAGTTTAGTGTAACGCGTCTATTCAAAGATAATGACAGGCGGCTAAGAGATTCTGAATTGGAGTGGAGTTAGCACTCGGGCGTCAAATTGCGGCTGATAATCGTCCATCGGGATGAACATATCATCTAGTAATCAACGCCTGTTTCTACGGGCTGTATATATAATGCATCTTAAAACCTATGAGCAGTTGCATTCCGTTGAGTTGGTAGGAAAATATGGGTGAAACAGCATAGCCCAGTACGTCCTTTGAAACCTCGGTTGTTCTTATGACGAGCACCGAGGTTGTCTTAGTATTTACATTTGGAACATGATGGCAATCCAAACTTTAGCGGACCGGACATCTACATATTAAGGAGAGGTTTCCGTGACGAGTTCTGGAGAGCTTTAGTTATAATAATTGCGAGACGGCGGCTACGAATATGGCGGCCAGTAACCTTGGGTGGTTAGCCGACAGGTTTCGGATCTTCCCCCACAGGGAATACGTAATGTCGCCAAGTTAGGACCATGGCAATACGATGTCGATACTTTACGGAGTTGGAAGAGTTGGAAGAAATAAATAAAAACAAGGACAAAGATAAAACAGAATAATAGAGGCTAGCGACCTTGAAGGGGTTGTCGTCAGATCCCATACACTCGGACACTCAAGACACTACGAGCCAAGCCAGTCCGGCTCTTTCTTCAACGGGTCGGATACTTAGCTGCAGAAGAGCCCGCATACGACAACTGAACCTCAGGTGGCAGGTTTCACTTGAAGTAAAATAAGCTAGGCGATTATTAGTATCGATCAACAGCCTAAGGCTACTAAAGCGTGTAACTAGTCAAGTAGCCGCAAATCAAGCAGTAGACAGATATGTTCTTTTTTAGACATTTTACCGGGCTAGAGCCTCTTATGTAAATTTAGGGTATTATGTATTGATCCTCGTAGGTACTTATTATTGCGAAAAGGACCATTCCCAATATATGTACCTGATGTAGATACCTCCTCTCGAAGGTTTGACGTGGAAGTTGACATTATGAGCTTACCTATATGTTGACATATAAATGTACATGTTAGGTACCTAAGGTATTTGCATAGATCGCACTGTCCCGCAAGTTGAAATACTACCCCACCAACTACATGTACATACCATCCATTGAAGGTACACACGGTATGTACATACGGTATGTACATATGTGATGCCCCTAAAGATGTATCGCAAATACTTGACCCTCCAATTAATTCGTTCGTTGTGTCCTTGACCTACAGAGTACTTTTCGTATTAATTGAGGTACCTATAAAGCGAGTAAATGATTTGGGGTCCGGCAGCCACTTAGAAGGAAGTTCCCGTGTATAACCTTAGGTACCCACAGATATTAGTAGCGGAATACTAGAGTAAGTGCTATAGGAGATACATACAAGTAATGGTAATTCTATCCTGTTTCCTTCTATTTTTCCTCATGCCCATCTTCAACCTACATTACTTCAATGGAATATTCTCATGCCTACATATGTATAGCTACTATACACACACACCTGCTAGTTCCGACCTTATTTATCCATTCGTTAAAGGAATAATAGATCTGCTGTTTCATAGCAGCGCAGAAGTGAGAGAAGAAGAATAACGGATTGGATCGATTACAGATTTTAAAATATACACAGGTAAGGAACCTAAATAAAGATAGTAACTAAAAAAGGGAATTAAAAGGGGAAAGAGAGAGAGAGAGAGAGAGTGAGAGGATAAGCCCTCGAATTACAAGCGAGGCCAAAGAATAGAGAACCAAAAGAAACAAACACATATCCCTATCACCTTACGTACCCCTCCCTCATCAATCATGTCGGGTGTTTTCTAGTCTCGTCAGCCATGGTTTCATCGCTCGACCCATTTACTATCAATTTTTAATTGTCACTAAAAAAAAATCACTACTACTACCCCCAAAAAATAAGCAAAAATTGAAAACTCTGTTTTCCCTTCCCCCCTTAAACCCGTAACTACCTTTGAGGTAGAGATGGAAAGCCACAGTACTAACGCCAACATCCACAGCAATCTGCAACAGCAGCAAGAGCAACAGCAACAACAGCAACAACAGCAACGTCGTAACAGACTAACTAAGAAACCTCCCTCCTCCATCCATAACCATCACCATCACAGTCACAGCTATTCTCTCACCGCTGATGGTCGCTTTGACGCCCAATCCCTCAAGAGCAAACGGAGCTCCACGAGCCTGAGGCGAGCTCCAAGTGCTCCCCACAGAACTCCCGCTACTACAACTGTTAGCGTTGCTAATAACGTTGCTAACATTGCTAACGTTGGCATTAACAACGCGTCAAACTCCGCAGCATCGCCCCGTCTCCCACCACCACCCACTACTACCGCTACCGCTACCGCCGCCACCACCACCACTACCGTAAATAACAATACCAACAATAACACAACTTATTTCTCCTCACCTTTACTGTCTCCTGCTCAATTTTCCCCCTCTGCCATTTCCTCACCTCACCATTTAGTCTCGTCTTTACAGTCGCCGTCGCCTTCTCGTAACGCATTTCCTCTCGCCGCCGACGGAGCCGCAATTGGGTCTAGAACCGGCATTGGCACTGGCACTGGCACTGGCACTGGAACAGGCACAGGTACAGGCACAGGTACAGGCGTAGGAATAGGCATCGGTATCAGGTATCCGACGTCAGGTCAACGCCTGTCTGACCCCTATTTTCTCCAACCACTTTCCTCCCAGACTCCCGAGGAATTTATCGGCGCACCCTTTGACGGCAATTCTATCCTTAGTCATTTCGACACTGCCAAGTCGCCCACGTACCAGTTTTCTTCCCAAACCCGACCGCCACCGCCCCCGCTATCGAATTCAACTCCCGACCCGCGTGTAATGAGCCCTCCTCCCTTGCGACAGTCGGCTAGCTTCTCCGCCTTAGACGCCAACATGTCAGAGAAGTCCCATGGCGCACGTGTCAATGAGAACCCCGTTGTCCCCCCGAAACGGTATTCCGATGAATCCAAAGATCTCAAGGGTCCCGGTGTCTTGAGAAAAAAGTCGGGCTTTTCCGGCCTCATGAGCACATTGGTGGGGTCGCCCAAGAAACCCGTCATATCGGCTCCAGAGAACCCCGTTCACGTCACCCATGTCGGTTACGATAGTTCCACCGGCCAATTCACGGTAAGTCTCGTTATAACTTCTTCATCGCCTTGAACCCGGCTTCACGACGTTGCTGACTTTTTTATAGGGCCTACCCAAAGAATGGCAACGCCTAATCAACGAGAGTGGTATTCCAGAGAATGCTCGAAGGGAAAATCCACAGATGATTGCGGATATCGTCACATTCTATAAGGAAACCACAGAGAAGCCGCACGAAGATCAGGTTCTGGAGAAGTTCCACGATGTGAGAGCTACTGAGCTGCGCACCCAATCTGGTGGAATGGCAACATCCCCCGGCATGTATGCGTCAAACTATGCGGGTATGTCACCTATGATCAGTCCACCAGCAAGTCCGAGATTTCCAATCGTGAATAATGAAGGCACCTTCGAGAATCCCCGCGCCCCCCCTCCGGTACCCATACCTGGGAAGAGCCCGGTGCTGCACTCCATCAAGGATCACCCCAACTTGCAGCCCAGCCGACCCGCGCCGAAACCCCCCGTCTCTTTGCAGACCCGAGCTACACAACAACTGCCCTATGCCACTACCAAAGATTCGGGCATTGGTATGGCACAGGCCAGCGAAGATGGTCACTCGACAGGGTCCCATGTTTCGCCACCGAAGGACAGCGTCCCCATGCTCCCCGAAGAGCACCGATCGAGATCGAGATCGAACTCGCGAGTCAACGGGTCTCAACCCCACACACCTGTCGGCCAGTCATCGCCAGCCGTTCAAGCGGCTTATCAGCACCAACTAATGCAGCAGCAGCAAGAACAGGCTATGGCACAGGCCCAGGCTGCTATGAAAGGTCAGCTTAGTAGGTCTGCGAGTACTAAGCAGTCTCCCGCACAGCCAATGGCCCCGAGCTCACAGCACCAAATGGGTCGCGTCCCTGAGGCTAACGGTGCCGGCAATGCGGCCTATGCAGCACGAGGGCCTCCGGCGCAGCAGTCACGCCCGCGCAACCGGCCGCGGCAAAGTACCAGTATAGATGTAGCAGCAGCGCTGAAACGTATCTGCTCCGAAGGCGACCCTCGCGAGTTATACCGTGGCTTTACTAAGATTGGACAAGGTGCATCTGGTGGTGTCTATACCGGCCACGAGAGGGGATCGAATCGACTAGTAGCCATTAAGCAGATGAATTTAGAGCAGCAGCCAAAGAAGGACTTGATCATCAATGAAATCTTGGTTATGAAAGAGAGCTCACACCCGAATATCGTTAACTTCATAGATAGCTACCTATGCGGTGGTGAGCTTTGGGTCATCATGGAGTATATGGAAGGAGGTAGTTTGACTGATGTTGTCACTTTTAATATAATGACGGAAGGGCAGATCGCTTCAGTCTGTAGGGAAACCTTGAAAGGCCTCCAGCATTTGCACTCGAAAGGAGTTATACATAGAGACATCAAGTCTGATAATATTTTGTTGTCGTTGGATGGTAATATTAAGCTCAGTAAGTCAAACACCTCCTCATTCTAAAGTTGATCGACTAAAACCTAATTTTCCCCCCTTTCGTAGCCGATTTCGGATTTTGCGCACAGATCAACGAGGCGCATAATAAGCGGACTACGATGGTTGGTACGCCGTACTGGATGGCACCGGAAGTGGTCACTAGAAAGGAGTACGGAAGGAAAGTCGACATCTGGTCCCTAGGTATCATGGCTATTGAGATGATAGAAGGGGAGCCGCCGTATCTTACCGAGTCGCCGCTTCGCGCTCTGTGGTTAATCGCTACTAACGGCACACCGCAAATCAAAGAAGAGCATAATTTATCTCCAGTATTCCGGGATTTCTTATATTTCGCCCTAAAGGTGGACCCGGAGAAGAGAGCGAGCGCACACGACTTGCTTCGGGTATGTCTTACAATTTTCAGCGTGGGGTTCCAGAAAGCTAACCTAATATAGCACGAATTTATGAAGACTTGTGTCGACCTGTCGTCTTTATCACCACTCGTCAGGGCCGCAAGGGAAGCCCGGCTAGAGGAGAAGGCCAATAAGGGTCAATAAATGTCTGTCAGTCATGTTGCAACGTTTTGAAGATGTTGGAATAATTTGAGGTCGGTTGCCCTCGAGGTTTGAATAAGTGTTACTATCCTACAATTCAAGGATACATCGAGCTGGTGACGGCCAAAACATCTTGCTGCATCTCTACCTGGGTGACTATGCTACGGCTTAGGCTTGTGGGGAGATTTGGAGAGATTAAAAAGAAATAAAAACAGCAACTGACGAAGGGGTCCGGAATCCTATGGAGGGGCTGATCCTCTACTTGTACATAGCGAGACGATACCACCCTTGAGACGGCCTTCATTGGTTACTAGAGCAGAACTAGACGAAACGGACGTCCTCGAAGCAGATGATTTGAAATACCTCAATACCCCCAGTTCAAGACCCTCGTCACCTAAGAGTTCGCGACTCGCACCGGGCAGGTCGGATTATGGGGCTTAGCTCCGAAGTGAGGCTGAGATTTAGATATTTGAGTCCAACAACGGAATTAATTGGATACTGGAAGGTTAAAATTTATAAATCAAGATCTGCAGCAGATGTTCATGTCTTGTATTGGGAAAATATACCAGTTAACTAGTTAAAGTCTGGCTTATTACTATTGTCTTTTGTCTTTAACCCTGCATATCGGGGGTTCAAAGACAGATAGTTGTCTATTGCAACGTAGAACCAAACATATGTAGGGCACTGAATAGGTCAGCTTATCGAACCATATGTGTCACATTGTACAGAGTAGACAAGCACCTCTTCAGGAACTTAACATGACAAGAGTTAGCGCCATTGTTTCGAGCTTATCGAGGACGGCCAAGACATCAATTCGAATCGCCTAGCTGAAAGAAATAGAGACGGTAACTGATTTCCCCTATAACAGGGTTTTCAGATAACTAAGAAGACGATTTTCGATAGCAATTCCTTTTTAACCGCATCGGTAGGTATATATAAACGAGTTACATCTGTAGTCTCAGGTACATGGGAGGTAGATGAAGTTTGGATTTCACAGAATGACTCAAGCTTGGTCTCCAAACCGAGAGCAATGCATGAGTAACTTGTCCACATACAAGATGAGTGCCATTAGGAGCAAATAATGCTATCAAACTTAAGACAAGACCCCGAGTATATGAAATCCTCTTCACACTATCCTAGTCATGGTCGAGGAGTTCGCTTATGGATAGTGACTCCCAGTCTGTATGTACAATCCAAATATGTCTGTTTAAGTGATATAGTTTCGTTAGATGAAAAAACCTCAGTGTTCAAACAAAGACACAAACGCAATAGTTCAAGACATTGGTCACAAAACGGAAGCAAACTCTGCTTCTATTCTATTTCATGTGTACCGCTTGAAGCGGGTGCTAAAGAGATCAGTTCTGTTGTGCACCGTCCCATATCCGGCAACCCCTGTAAAGTCGGTCCGGGGAGTCCACCCGAGGGTAGTCTATCTCTAAAAGCTATTCTGATGTTTTTTTTCGTCAGAAAAAGGCAAAAAGTTCTTTTTTCCCTCCATGATAGTATTTGGTATCAGTCCCCTTTTCCTACTTTTCTCCATGGCGTGTATAATAAAACTGACTCCAGATTTCCCCATGACGATTATGTAAAAAGTCAAGTCTATGCCGCGCATCATTCCATAAAACAATAAACCGTAAAAGAAAAGACCACCAGCATGCTAGGAACCATACCCATAGGTAAGACCCCCCCTAGAGCCCGGCCGAAGCCCTTCTGGCATATACATACGAAGGGTTTACGGCTAGGTACGTAGGTGCAAGTGGATGGTGTGCGATGCGACCATTAGGACCGAACGAGCAAGTTGGTTGGCGAAAACGTGACTTGGCAAAGTCTGTCCAACACACGTGCCTGAATGCGGTTGTTCAAGATGCATAGGAGGGACTCATAACGCCGCGACGCAACGTAACCCCCGCACCAAACGAGACAGAATTCGTCTAGCCAACTCCAAGCTTCTGACCCATTAGGGCATAACAAGCGGGCTCCGGCCAAACAGGACCAGAGCCGCAATGTCCGCGTATACGCCACGCCGTATAACTTGTCCCAACATACCAGGTCGAGACTATTTAGTTAATGCTGGCTTATAGGACAGTGTAACCACCGTCGATAGCGACGTTGGCGCCCGTCATGAAGCTGCTGGCATCGCTGGCAAGGAAGACGCAAAGGCCGTTAAGCTCGTCAACATTACCGAGGCGGGCCTGGGGTGTCAGAGAGCGCCAGATCTTCTTCTGGGCCTCAAGGGCGGGTACGCGGTTCAGCGCAGTGTCCATGTAACCGGGAGAGATGCAGTTAACACGGATGTTGTACTTGGCCCATTCGGCAGCCAGAGACTTGCCGAATTGGATAACACCGGCCTTGGATGCGTTGTAACAAGACTGCTCCTGCGGGTAGTTGACGATGCTACCGCTCATACTAGCAACAAGAACAATAGATCCAGGCTTGCCAGCAGCCATCATCGCGCGTCCGACCGACTGGCTCATCAAGAACGAACCAGTTAGGTTGATGTCGATCAGGCGTCGGAACATGGCCGGGTCGTAGGTCTCGGCCTTGATGTTGGAATCAGCGATACCGGCACTGTTGATCAGGACGTCAGGGGCGCCGTAGGTCTCGACAACAGAATCGACAGCAGCATTGATGGCGGCACCGTCACGAACGTCGACCTTGAAGAAGGAAACGGGGAGCTGGGTCTTCTGGTGTAGCTCGGCGGCAGCTTCGTCACCCAGCTCTTGGTTCGCATCGAAGATGACAAGAGCCTTAGCACCAGCCTCAGCACAAGCGCGGGCCATGTGGTTTCCGAGACCCCGAGCACCTCTGTAACGATGCCTCGTCAGCAAAATCTGTTTCAAAATAGCTTCATGTAGCAAACTCGGCTTACCCAGTGATAATAACAACCTTGTCCATTATACTCATCTTCTGCAGGGTGGGGGGCATTTGGCGGTAGACAGTCTTGGACAATGGGATGACCTCGGTGTCCTCCGGGGGAGGGAATGGCTTCGGTGTGGCATCGTCGCGGTTCACGGGGATACTGAAGTGGTCGCTGGTCGAACCGGCAGCGCCCGTCGAGTCTGGGGAGTAGACGGAAACAGGAACTTCGGTCTCGCGTACTACATCACTCCGCGATCGAACGGTTGACTGGCTGAAAGCTCGGTGAGCTGCGGGGAGAGATCTAGAGATGTGGGCAGATGCACGGGCGGTGCTAAAGAGGGGGGCTGCAGCCCTGGTGAGACGGAATGCTGAGCGACCAGACATTGTTGCAACTGTGTGTTTGTGTGGTTGTGTGTATGATGTATGTGCGTAAGTATATAGATGGGATATATCCAAGTTCAAGGTATGTTAGGAATACTCGGAATAGGGATGTGGCGAGATGTGGGAAGTCTTTTAAGGTTGCTAGAAACTCTGGAGACGAGTGACAAAGCAGCAATTGACTTTTTTTCCCTCGTAAGTTGGAGGGGGCCTTAGGCAAACCGGTCAATTTATGGGAACCCCAGGGGGATTTTTCAATGGCAGAAAAATCCGAAATCGGGGGAAGCTCCGCGAAGAGAAGAAAAAAAAAAAAAGGACCAAAGTCCCAGTAAATTCTCAAGTAAAAGCCCCAAGTTCCAGGGTTTTGCGGCTTGTGTGTAAGATTCGAGGTCACAAGACGAGCTCTGTTAAATTGGAAGCTGGATGGGTTTCGTGAACTAATCCCGTAGTCGTGGTCACGAGCTGAAGCAAATATTTGTTTTTATGTTCCGTGCTCGAACTGGAGCTCCTACGGGCTCGGCTGACCGTCGGTCTAAGCCAGGGGGGGCTGGAGTTATGTAGGTAGTAAAGTAATAAGTAGTGATAGTACCTAGTAGCAAGGTCTAGGTATGAGTGGGGAGAAAATAGAGGAGATATCAATAAATGTCTCGTAGTTGTCTCGAGAACTCAACAAGGGGGCACGGTAAGAAAGGACTAAGACCGTAGCAGTATAGATCAAGAAGAGCTTCTACACAATAGAGATCAATGAGAAAGAAGAGAAACAGATAGCAAGCCGGAGGCAATAAACTGCAAGAAGGGTGCCCTATTTCTACTTGCTCGCTATCGCATATTCTTCCCTTCCCTCGTGAAAATGTGGACTTACTTTTCCTAACAGTTGTCAAGATTTACGCATCGCTTTCCCCTTTCCACACTACATGACAGGTTGAACGAAAGGGTCCCGTCGAGTCTGGGTCAGCAGCTAGACGATAGACCGCCTCGCCCGTTCGCTCTGGACCGTTGATCTGAGTATCTAGCTTCGCTAACTCCGAGCGACGTAACGTGATGGGTTTGTACCTACGAAAACCAAGGTACATGAGCTACTACCTTTGTATATAAAAAGAAGGGGGTAAAAATTCCCCGTTTCCGTTACGGAGCAGTATTGCGATTGTACTTCTTAAGAAAAGTACATGCATATTACGCCATCCATCTCGGATGTACATGTATACATATGCACGTATTATATTTAACTGAATCAAACACAGCGGAGGAGGGCAAGAAAAAAAAAGACTTGTGGCGGATAGCTGTGCGGGAACAGATAGACTAGAACAGAAAATCTTTCTTGGTTGCCATCGATCAAGGGTAACTTTTTGTTAGCTTGTAGTCTCTGCCTGTAGTATTGCAGTAGCTCTGGACCTAGCAAACTGCCAAGCAGCCAAGCAGCCCCAAGCAGCACCAAGCAAATGCCCAGTCCCCGCCAAGACTGTCCATAAAACCGACCCGACGGGGCCTTAAGTAGAAATAATGGGGGCTATGGGGTCCGGCATGCAGCCCGGGTGGGGCTCATGTCTCCATCTAAGTCTCCATCTACGCAGTAGCGCGACCTGTTTTCTATTTAGCTCCTTTTCGTGGAGTCTTCCACCCTTCTAAAGAAATTCCAAACTAACCATATTCAATATTGTCAGCTATCAATACCTAACACATATACAGTAACATGAATGATGGAGAAGCCGTACAGAGATTTTACATCCGTACCATAGGTAGGTTACCTTTCTAGTAGTATTTTGAAACCGCCAGCAACGCCTCTGAGGGAACTCGGCGTGGGGGTACTGCGGCTATCTCGTAGTAATGCTTACAGCTCAAGATAGCTTAAGATACACATGCTTCCTAATTCCGTTAAAGCTTACATATAATTACTGTCTCTGTCCATATTTAGATATTTAGCTACATATGTCAAGTTATATCAGTTAGCTAGGCTACTATGTACAGACTGCTTTCCTAGTCCGGGAGTTTTAAACGCTGATAGCTAGACTGAACTTGGAAGGCTGAAGCAGGATTTTCTTCCAGGCAAGCGGGTACGTGATTAAACCACGCAACTCGCCAACGAGAGGTGTTGTAATGTAATTGAAAATTTACTATGGTCGCGGGTATACCTACCTAATAAGTGACGTGGCCTTGAAGCACCTCCGTTTGAAAACCACCTAGGGATTTCAATAAGTGTTGGTGTGAAGATGGTACTTTAACATATCTGTAGGCCTAGAAGTGTACACAAATACAAAGTTCTTGATAGTGTCCCAATAACAAATAACATACTAGGTATATTTAATAAACTAGAGTTATATATATAAAAAGAACCACACCGCCGGAAAGGTCACGATGCTAAAATGTACTTAAAGTTAAACGACCGTACTTTCTGGGGTATCGAAACCCACGCGGAGATTATGCGCCAAATACGTAGGTACACAATCAGATTCGTGGGGTTAAAAGTCAGCCTCTAATGTTCAAAGGGGGGCTTAAAAGAACAGCAAGAGAAGAAAAAGACATCGTGAGAAATATCTAAATTAGCCTCTCGGGTTCTCGGTGGTCGTATTGAGATGAGACTAATCTCTCCTTAAAAAATACACGTCCAGGTGACCAAATCCCCCACACATCCCAGGTCTTAACTATCGACTAAGGCGCATTATTAAAAACAGCGCTGCGTACCTAAATGAAAAACATTGCATGAGTCCATCACATTGTTGAGGCCACGAAACATCGTAACTATGGAATATTTATAATTCAAAATTTACTCATGAGAAACCCTCTGTCATGCTGCATGGTATGGTCTTAACAGCATCTTATAAATCAGTCCATAAGTACGTATATAGGTACCTACGTATGGCGTATTCCGCGCATGCGTGTTAGGAGCGCATACTTACATCTATGTAACTACTCATATCCCTTGAGATACCTACAGTATTAAACGGTATCATATTTATATAGTCGGTGAGCTTTCCTGACTGTATTCTCACAACCAAAAACTCCGATTTGCGGCTCTGTCCGTCACAACTGAACCATGCAGCCTCGCGGCCCCCCTTAGATTAGATCTACTACACGACGCACAGGCAAGACGCACGAATATTTCTTTCGCCCATCTCGGGATGTGTTCATTACGTACATATACATATCACGTTCGGTATGGCGCACCCTACTTAGAACCCTACTTAGAAATATAGTGTAACCGTGCTAGACATGTACGTTGTAGCTTGTCGTGCCGCTGATAACCCATGAATGATCAGCATTGAAAAATCAGCAAGGTCTACCCGAATAGAAAAGGATTTGCTCACTCTGCATCTTTCTACCAAGGTACGTAGACGAGTAAGATAAATGACTCCGGGTGGCATGAATCGTGGCTACGTACCAAACAAATTAATTTGGAACGCTCCGTCGTGCTACCTAGTACGCCATAACGCATATGGAGTATGTACATGTATACAAGGTTTGTTCACCGTGGCATTTTAGGTATCGTGGGTCCTCGCTACGGTTAGGGTCCTGGGACGACGCTGGCAAAGGAAAGGCTAGCAAAAGCTTCGCCCGGGGGTCAATCTTGTGGGGGAAGCTAGTCCATAAAATCAAGCTACGGAATATGTACCACAGTATATCTAACAGTATGTATTGTGGTAATGTAGTGTACGTATGTAGTCGACCGAAGGAGGTGCTGCCGAACCGTCTATGTATACTACATAGTATATTGCCTGCATACAGCACACATACATAGGCGAACTGTACCAGTGCTGACCTTGCAGACGCGATCATCTACGGATCACACGGAGAGCCGAACTGCCTATTACATATCTCGTCCGAGCTCGCAGAATTTGCCTGTGATCTTCTATCTAACAATAGCTCTCCCATTTACCAGCGGACGTTACATACTTATCCAGCGGACTGGACTTGGGCCATTGTTAGTTGGGTGTTTAAATACACGGAAAAGTGAAGGACATCGCGAGCAGAGAATGGCGGAAACGTGGGCAATCCAACATGTTTGACAGGGTGAAAGAGGGCTTCATGCCATTCCTTTTATCCCCTCAAACTCCCCACCCACCACAACCTTTTCCTTTACAATACTCACTAATGCGGTACAAATTGCGCCGCAAGCCTTAGGTACTGATCTCTCGGATTCAGGGGTATCTCTACTAACCAGGCTAGCATATGCAGCCTTTCGGTCTTAAGAATTTAAAGATCGTTGAGGTATTATTCTTTAATGTTGATGTGTCTTTAGTATGAAGCTAGATCAAGCTGAAATATATTTCAATGCTAGGAGGATCCCAGTTGATGAAATGATAGATCCAATCTTTATATTCCTAGGTACCTAGACAACTAGTTTGCATGTAGATTAGAAACAGCGTGTTAGCTCGTCTCCCGCCGCCCGTCCGCCCCGTGCTAAACCCCTCGCAAGCGGGCTGTCCTTGCATAGGCGAACCTCAGCAGCACGCCGCCCGGTCCCGCCGCGTCCCATCATCAAGGCAAGATCAGCACATATTAAAAGCACCGTCCCGCTCCCGCTCCAAGCAGCCGCGAGCTGTCATCTAAAAAACCCCGAATTGGCTCCGCCTCGGACTCCATACTGACGCAATGTGTCCACCGGGGAGTCGCCGATATCAACTAATGCAGCATATACTCGTACGTGAGTACTAGACCGCTAAGCTTGCTATCCTAGATTCCTAGTATAGTATAAGCGACCTGATGGTAGCATGTCCGCGCCTAAAAATTCTGTCCGCTATGGCCTAGCGACCGTAACTATCGGTCTAAAGTCGATTCATACGGCCTCCGTTATATCCGTAGTCGCGCTATAGAGTAGGTACTTACCACAAGATCCCTACTCAAAGCTTTTAGCTGATCTACTCATCCCGAGGTACTAATTTTAATATATGAGTAAAGCCAAAATGCGGTAAGCATGCTAACAGTGTTTGATAACATACGAAGACATCTCTTCTTGTGCTCATTGGGTGTTCCATGTAGTATACATACAGACCGGTGAGCAACTTCCGTGTGGCGTATGTACTATCTTGCATTTATCTATGTTCCATCCCAAATAAGAGACCATGGCCGGTTCCCTATCTTTTCCAATTCAGTAAAATGATCCGGGTTATAGAGGCCTCGACAGGGCGGACAACTCTGGGAAGTCTACGGTACTTCGACTTCAACCCGAGACCTGAGATTGAAGCTCGGGACCCTCAGGACTCTAGTACCCTCCTACTAAACATCTGAGACATAGCGAAGTGAGTCACTTTCTGGAAAATACTCTGTACGCCCTCCCTTCCCCCCTACGATATTACTCCCAAAACTCATTCCCCGGCACCATGCACCTTGCCTAAGCCACTCGATGCATCTCTTCGCCAGGTTTCATATTCATGACTCTAGCAACAAGATAAGCAGATTCAACCACTTGATTTGCTCATTCTAAGTACCTAGGACGCGTTAAGTTAGCTATGCGCGTAGGAAGGTTAGATACATCAACATCTTATGTGACCTCCCGCAAAATAATCTGCAGATACCCCTAGATCTGTAGATCCGATGCTCGCAAACTTCACCACGTGCGTCATTTGACATGTCATTAAATTCCTCGTTTGCCAATGAGACAGGTTCCCCTACAAGGATCCTTTCTTATCTTATCAACCTAGATTAGAGAATATGGTATGAATTCTACCAATGTTTTGTTACGTTCGTTCGTGATGAAGCCCCGTGTTACGTGGCTTACTAAAATAGCATCTCGATAAGTTCTAGGTATTCAATCATAAACCTCTTCAATTATATAGCTAGATTTCCTCATATAAAAGCTATACTTTTCAAATAATCCTTATCATATAACCGTTTCGACGGTTGCGTGAGGTGCCTAGGTCTCTTTCACAATATCGAAGCAGAATAGACTTACCACCCTATAGCATATAGCATAGGAGCATAGGCACCTCCTAACTAGTAACTTGACTATCGGACCCCCTGGTTTGGGGACTAAGTACGACATCTTGTTTCTCTACTCCGATTGGACACAGGTTTGCCGCCATTAGCTAGGCATTGATCTTATTCGACAGTGAACGGCGGCTGAGAAAGTCAAATCAAGTTTAGTGCTAAGAGTTCACACCAATACAGTAGCTAATTCGAGCTGCGAACTCTTCCTGTCTATGGGATCACCTTATAGCTATTGAACGAACTTGGAATACGACCCCCTGCTTGGATATTCGTTATATTAAATGTGCCCTCGTCACGCCTAGAGTGCGATGCTGATTTGGCCGTTGTTGATTTCTTAGAGGTTTGCGATTTTAGCTTATTTTAGGAGTAGAATATGGCACACTCTGACTTCGGAAGGTCCTCACAGGGACGGAATAAACAATAGGTAAGTTATATAGCAAGCATTTTAATATCGGCCACGACTGTAAGGTAGCTGTTCTTTCTGTGCTTTTCACATAAGATAATCTTGATAATCTATTTGAGCCGTGTAGTTGTCGCTCTTTCTCTTCTACTGCTTCACGTAGATGTCCTCTCGCTTAATACGTATATTTATATGCTTATGTGATTCTATCAATCACTATGACCGCGATACCCATTTCCTTCCTTATCATCTCATCTTTCTTCTACATTATTTTATTTGTGTCGGCTTCTCCTACCTTAGATAATGATAAGATCGGAGCACGAAGCTCACTACCTATTCTCAACCTCCCGTACGGGTCGTATAGAGCAGCTAGATACGGCGGCGTGAATGATATGTAAGTCGAAGCTGGTCTATATTACTTGAAGTGAACGAGAGGAAAAGGCAGAAAGTCCTAATGGCGCAAGTCGTAGATATACGTTCAAAAATATCCGATATGCGGCGCCACCAGTTGGTGATCTGCGATGGGCCAAGCCGGCGCCTCTGTTGAACCAGTCCGGCATCCAAGACGGGAGCATCGGCCACTCATGTGTACAAGCGGCTCCAAACGGACGCAACCTACTCGGTACTGGCAACCAGTCTCCAATCGGCGGGGCGATCAACCAGTTGTGAGTGCTCCCCGTAGTATATACTAAAGAGTGCTAGAGGATAAATTCCCTAATGCTACGAAAGTCTTGTGGGTATCCCACTTCCCGTATTCTCAGGCGGCAGCGAAGACTGTCTGTTTTTAGACATTTGGTGTGTATATCCTATATGTGATATCTCACCAATAGGATGCTAATATATCTCATAGTACGTTTGAATATAAACATCAAAACTGAAGCACCTAGTTAGTATACTTACTAGTAACAGATATTCCTGGAAAGGCTTTGGGGGCATCCTCTGGGAAGTTACCTGTTGTGGTCTTCGTATATGGTGGCGCGTATGTCTTTGGCAGTAAAGACTCACTGCAACCAGAGCTGCCGTTCTATGATGGGACTGGTCTGATATCACAATCCGGCAACAACATGATCTTTGTGGCAATGAATTATCGAGTAGGGGCTTTCGGCTTCCTCGCTGGAATTACTATGGAGAACGAAGGTACCCCAAATGCTGGGTTCTAGGATCAGGTAAGTGCATATATGGGAACCCTGGAGTGCCGTTGATTCTAACACGTTGTCGTGGGATAGAGAGCAGCTTTTCAATGGGTTAGGGATTACATTTCCTTAGTAGGCGGAGACCCGGCACGAGTGACAGCCATGGGACAATCCGCTGGAGGCGGAAGTATCATACATCACATTATCGGACAGGGTGGAAAGCTTGTCCCTTTATTCTCCAAGGCTATATTGCTTTCTCCGGCTTTCGAGTATATGTGGGATCGCGCTGGTGTGGTTCAAAATACATTTGAGGCATTTGCAAGAATGGCTGGCTGTGCCGGTCAAGGCGTTTCGTGCTTGAGGCGCGCTGACGCATCTGCTCTTGCTAATGCGAACACGCAGTTGATGAAGCAGCAGTATTCAGGCACCTTCGCAGTCGGCCCAACGCCTGATGGATCATACATACGACAGCTTCCCGTACTGGAGTTAAGCACTGGCAATTTCTGGAACATGGAGTCACTCATCTTGTCGCATACTACTTCCGAGTCGAATGTATTTGTTAATGGCCTTGTACAGACGGATAGCGGGTTTAAATCGATTGTGGACGCCATATTTCCAAACTACACACAGGCTGCCGGAATCACGGATAAGATTGGTGCTTTCTACGCGGTCTCTGGAGAATCAAAATATAGGTCGCAGACGGACCGAGTGCAGGCCCTCCTTCGCGATAGCAGCTTTACATGTAATATCCGGCACCTTACCGAAGGCTTTGGCGACTCCAAGGTCTGGAACATACAGTACGGGGTATCGCCTGGGTGGCACGGAACGGACCTTTTCCCCATCTTCAGCGCTAAGCTCGGAGGCAAGAGCTGGCTTGAGAATCTGGCGGCGTTGATGACACCGGGTATTGGATCGCTCGTTTCCGGCATCAGCGTGGCGTTGCAAAGCTACCTTACGAACTACATCCTCACTGGTGATCCTAACACCAATCGCAAGATATTCAACCTGCCGCCGACGGTACGATGGAACCATCCAAATAGTCAGGCGGAGCAGATCTCAGGCGTGGTTAGCCTCGGTGATTGGGGGTTTAGCACGGTACGAGATACCCAAGACGAGAAGACGGCGTGTGATTTCTGGAGGAATATAGCCGCAGCCGTGACTAGCTTAGGTGGATATTCGCCGCCTGGTGTAGTGGTATAGCAAAGTTTGGTTGACGCGAGGGATCCGAGTATGAAGTACGGATCTGTACAACGGTGGTAATCGATAGGAACATGTAATCGAAGTTCTTGAATAAGTGAAGTTGTTAACTGTTCCCTACACGTGATGCGTATCGCATACGGGTGTGGTGAGTGTTTGATTTAATCCGTACTTGGATAAAGTACAGGCATAAATCATTGGAAATTACTTGCATAGTACCCCTACCCATCAATTACATGTAATTACATATGTGCTGGTGCTATATTTGGCTGTGGGGTTATGGGGAGTTTGGCTACACAGGTACCTAACCTATGTACCTAGGTACATAATGTATGTAACCCAAGCTCCTATTAGAGTTCGCCCGGACATTTTCTCAATTGTGTGCATCTCACGGAATACAGATTTCATCTTCTTCTAATTGATGTTTATTGGATATAGAATAAAAAGAGCCCCGGATCGCCACAACGCGTCTCGGAATAACCAGTCCTAACAGAAACGACATTTATCTTATTTGTCACAAGTCGTTTCGGTGTCTCGCCGGACCGCTTAGGCTTGGCTCATTTGTTTCGGGGGTTAGTTGCACTACATTCCATCGTATCCCCAGGGTTGACTTGACATCTTCTTTGGTGATCGAAGATTCTTTATATAAAATATAAATAGGCTTCTGTCGAGTGTATTGGAAGCTAGGTAGACGCGGCGTTTCCAGAAGTCCGGAAACAATCCGTCAAACTAACTATCCACCAAACTATGTCGACTTCATGCTTTCCTCTCTACCCGAAAATAAATTGACATATTATAGTGAGCCGCTCCTGCGACCAGGTTTATCGTTAACGAGATTCCTAATCGCCTCGTTTCTTTCGTCAGATGGCTCAGATTGGTCTAGGTCCTGCTCTAAAATAAAAAAACCCTGGCCAATTCCTATGTTGAGTGTAACGGTTTGGGTTTCAAATCTAACAACCCTTGACAAGGGGTTGTGATCCACCGTCGTCTTGGGGCGTTCAGCCTTGCGCTTTCACCCAATTACTTGTCTTGCCTTTCGTGAGCTGGTGGAACCAATCGAAGAACCTCGAACATAACCCTGCAAGGTCCATGTTTGAGGATCACAGATACTAGTCTACTATTGCGGAAGGCCAGGATCGTAGATATTGGTGCTGAAGATGGGTCGAGAATAACCCTCGTTCACCCTCGCCTACTGCCGCGTGCTAGCCACGCCCTTTACTTTCTGACTCCAGTCCTGTTCACGTTCTGTTTCTTACTCTCATTTTCGTGTCTTCGCGCCGACTATCACCAGTGTTGACCCTTATGGCGTTGTAGTATACTCGTCCGCGTCAACTATCAGTGTCAATATGCATAATTCGCTTCGTGATTAATATTTTATAATATCTTTTTTGAAATACCCATTGAGTGGGTTATTCGTACATTCCTTTTAAGCGAATACAGCTACACGCTGCCAAAGTCATGGCGACACCAGGAACAACACAGGCCTTATTGGCCGCCTTCTTTTTCGGTATATTGTTTAACGCGGCGTCTGCGGGTTTGGTTTTGTATGCTGTAGGTCATGGTTCAGCAATCTTTCGGGACGGCCTGAGGCTGGTCCTCATACTGTTCCTGACTTCTTCTGCTGCATGGGCTTTGGTCGAGTTTCTGGCTACTATCATCGAGCCGACTGCTGCGTCTATGTGCCAGGTCGCGGTAGTCTTCTCGTCTATTTTCGATCAGATGGCAAGGGTTTTCGTCGAACAGTACTTGGTATGGGCAGCGCGACCGGAGAAGAAATCAATACCGAATATAGTGTCGCAAGTTCTCATTCTTGTCCGGTTCGGCGTCGGCATGGCATTTATCGGATTAACACGGAGCGATTTCAACCCTACCTGTGTGCCTATTTCCAGCGTCCCGCCTATTGCCATTACCATCATCGTATTGGATGCTATTATCCTTGCTCTCATCGCTGTTCAAATTTTATCGAGTGCCTCAACGAGCGGTGTTTCTAGTGATGGACAGGCTCCCCTCGGAAAAAGAAGTGTTACTTTGGTCACAGTTGGGTTGGCAATATGGATAGGGGTAGGTTTTGATATATTACTATACTTATTCAAATGCTAATTGTTTATAGACGAGCGTAGTCCTTCTCCTCGGTGAGAGGGCAACGGATTTGGTACTCAGGACGACGCTACCTGCCGTTGGCCTAGCAATTTTAGTTGGTATGTGTTATAATATAATTTCTTTTCGTCGTATCGTTAACAGTTAGAAGCATTAGTTACTGTGTTCTCAGGATCACTTGTTGCGCCTCGAGGCCCACCCCTGCGACGACCAGATTCTCCAACTACTCGGGATGTTGGTAGAGATAGGGATTTATCGTCTTCGGATTCCGCAGATTATCCCCCGTCCCGATATGAGGATGTCAAAGCCGCAAATACAACAACTATAACAGCCTACGTCTCCCGAAATGGCGCTCTTGGAACTGGTGCGTTTGGTAAGTCGAAGAAAAATATTAAGGGGAAGGCATGGAATAAGGCCACAGCAGGCAAACTCGTAATCTCGAAACCGGTTCTTATCTCACAGGAAGGCATGGAAAACCCTCTTGACAGGATATCAACAGTCGATCTTGCTACAGCTGCTAGAGAGGAAAAAGAGAGGCGTGTCAAGTTACTGCAACGCGAGCCAACTCTCATTGCGCAGCGACCCGCCCCTCAGCCGCCTACTGCTCCGGGACGAGATCAGTCGCTTGCTAGGGAGCTAAGTTTGAAACGTAAAGAGGTTGGGTCATCGTCTTTAGCACAGCTGGAGAGAACCATCTCGACTAAGACGACTAAGACATCGGCGGGGCTATCTGTCGAAGCAAATGCATCTTCTACATCTTCAGAATTATCCCCTGGGACCGAACAGGTAAGGCGGAGATCCCCGAGGTATCCCCCGGCACCACCAATACCAGCAACGTTCCAACCGATTCGACCTGGTGAGCCGGTTCGTATACCCATTCCAAGACCCCGAGACCCATCTCCATCGCCAAAGGAACCAGAGCCAGTAAAAACACCGCTCCAGCGACGTGCCACAACGGGACTTCCGTCGAATCCCAGGGCCCAAGCGATGAAACAAATCGCGAAGGATGCTGAAAACAGCCGGCACGAAACTGTAATGTTCATCAACAACATTATCTATGACGATCCAAATGCCGTCAGCAACATTGTCCAAGGGGCTTCAAAAACACCAATAACTTCCTTAGACTCTGGTGATTCGGTTGTCAACCGTCCGCGCCCGATTCCTAGAAAAGGGGACAATGACCGTCAAGTTTTCCCTGCCGAAGTCTCACTGGCTCAGGGCCATAAACGGTCGAAATCAAGTGGCTCAATTATCGCTAGAAGGTCTATGCTGCGGTCTGTGCCCGGTAGCCCTTCTCAGCTGCCGCCCTTACCGCCGCCGCCCAAAAGCGCCGGTAGTTTATCTCGCCTTGGGCCTATCCACACGAAGAGTATGTCACTCGACGAGAAAATGGATTTGCTATATCCCACACCGCTTAGCGCTCCTTCGGCATCAACCAGAAATAAGCAGAAGTCTATAGTGCCTGATATGCCTCCTTTACCGGCGGCGTACGCGATGAGCACACAAATACCCGATGTCGAGGGTGCTCCCGACCGCGAAGTTCATGATGCTAGGCGGCTATCCAAGACAACTGACAGAAGTTCGACTCGAACCACTAGTATTCTCGGAATCGACGACATTCCACAGCAGGGTGTACAGAAGACTGACAGCTCTCATAATGCAGTTGAAGAGCTGGGTCAGTCCTGGCTGCCGGGAATATCAGCCGGAAAGGAAAGACGACCACATCCGTCTCATGATAAGATGAATCGAAGATCGTCGCCTGCTATTCCAGCGGAGGATCAATCTAACGGGTTATCCTCGAAGGACGAGAGCAAGGGACGAGAGGGATATGCCAGTACTATTTGGGGCTCGGTACACTCTCCTATCGCTGCTGTTAATATCCAGAAATCGCGGCAAAATGCTCATTCGACGTATATTCAGAAAGATACTCACAGCTCCGGAAAACAGAAGGAGCATGACCATCCTTCTAACGTCGTTAGTGGAGGTAGGGTTAGGGACTTCGTCGAAAACAACAAAGCTCTACCAAAGGTACCGACTATCGAGAAAGTTAACACGGGTAGTTTCCATCGTCGGGTCGGCGATGAATGCCCAGCTTTCTCTACTCGGAAGGGCATGGGACGTTTAAGAAAGATGCCTCCGCCAGCGCCTCTGATTCTCAACGGGAGAAGTAACAAAAGAACAGTCCTAGTCCAGCCTGCGGAGCCCTCACCACTAGAGTCACCTGGAGCCGCGTATCAGATGATTCAGGCTCAGCTTCAACGTTTCGAGCAACCGATCCGGGATTCCGTGGATAGTGAAGGACAACGCCTGGCATTGCTAGAGAACCTGGAGCGCGAGATGGGTCTACTTCAAAACAAATGGCAGTCCACACAGAACCTCCTTCAGCGCGATTCCATGTCGAGTATCAAGACTTCTCCGGCGAAGGATTCACGTCCTCCCTCGATGACCGCCGAACGAAGAGTATCACGAAAAACACCCACGCGAATTGGGATTACGCGATCCAAAGACGAAAACAGCATGGGCACACCCTCATATCAGAGCTCCGGAACAAGTTCCGAAAACACTCGCTCTGGTCAGTGGCAAGCCCGTCTCGCCGGTGCTCAGACAGAAGAAATAGAAGGCACACCCGACTTGATTATGAAACACAACAACCTCAATTTTCTATCTGTTTCTAAGGCTGCGCTAGGTAGTCCGAGCCCACCCGATACCGAAGAATCTGAATACGAGAGTGAACTCCCTATGAGCATACAACCACTAGGCCCAAGGCTATCTGCAGCAGTGGCCCAAATTCATGAACTATGGAACCCTCAGTCGCCCGCTCAGCGCCTGGTTAGCACAGGTCTCTGGGCTGGGGTGGTAAAGCAGCCTCAGACGGTCATTGGAAACCTTGAGCTTCCGAGCCTACCACGTTCGGTAAGCAGAAAGACCTGGGCCCCATTGGCTATAGAAAGCTCTCGACTATGGAAAAAGACCACCCAGAGCAACAATACGGCAGTTTATAATGGTCTATGGAAGAAGTATACAGCGTCACAGAATCTAGAATCCAGCCGTGCTGTTACTCGTCCGGTCACTGTTCGCCCGCCTCGGAGAAACAAGCGCGTGTCTCTCCTGCCTGATATTCTAGAGAATCCCGTGCCCTTACCTGACAAGCAGGGAACTTTAGGTCTCTTTCAGTTTCCTTGGGGCGAGAAGAGTGAAAGTGCCAGCATTCAACTTCCACCACCTACCCGTATGTTCGCGGCCATGCCAGGAACTATGACTACGGGGGTCCCAGTCACAAATGCTTTCTCAAACACTAGGTCAAGTCAGCCGGACGCCGAAGAATTCACAACATCCTTCTTTGACGACTATGAAGCCGAGGAAGAGGGTGATAACTTTGATAGCTTCGAAGATTTCGCAGATAGCGATGGCGAGGATTTCGACGAGAACACCCTGTGGGAGATTGCAAGCTTGCTCAGGACTGAGGTACCCTCGAGGGATAGTTTGCTCCTTCTCGCACAACAGGGTTCGCCATCCGTCAATTCTCCTGGATTTGCCGACGACATTATTGATACGATCGTGGATGACTATAATGACGATGGCATGGTCCTAGAGGATCCGATACCGATAGATCAATCCTGTATCTCGACTCCCGACCCTATTCCCTCTAAAACCCTACTGTGGACAGCCCAGCTGAAATCCTCCGAAACTCGTCACACCCTTGGTCTACCTCAGCCAGGTTCGGCAACCTGGGAGAGTTATAGAACAGAACCCATAGGAAAGGTCAAGGCAAACCACCGTATTGAAAATGTTATGTCCATTGAAAGCATCCATCTATGGGAGCCGAGGGCCGAGGGTATCGACCTTAACACTGGGTTACTCTGGAGTGCGTGCAAGTCGGCTCATATCCCTTCGCAAACAACAAAGGTGACTGTACCTACCCAGTCGGCATCGCTATGGGTACTGCCTATTGCCGTTATAGATTCGGAAGCTCAGGGTCTGTTTGATGTCAGCCGCCCAAGGGAGGATTATCGAAGAACCTCAAACGAGCCTGCTGCACTTTTCATGAAGAAGAAGCCTCGCACAGTAAAAATGCCACTGGGGAAGCTGGTATCAAGAGCACTTTGGACAGCTAATGGCCTTGTGGCCCAATTACCACTACTATGGCAAACCCCAGCTACGGTTGCTGTCTCTGAACATGATGGTTTATTTAACATCAACATGGTCAGATCCGACTACCGCAGGACTGATAAGGAGCCCGCCGCTATTTCCGTGGGGAAAACAACCTCCCGTGTGCTAGGGGGGCCGTTGGCAAGCCTTCAAACGAATGATCTCTGGACCAAGGAAAGCGTCTCGGAGCCCACTCGTGGTGCTGAGCTGTTCTTATTCAAGATGTCCGCTATGAAAGCTTCCCAGCCAATTGATAGTGAGGCCACGCCCAAATTTCAGACAGTGTTGTTATGGGAGAAGCCGAAGACAAGCGCAGCGCCAGAGCACGAAGGTCTGTTTGATGCCAGTGCTATAAGATACGATTACCGGAGGACCTCCAAACCCCCAGCTGCCATTGCGATGTCCAAGAAATCTCGTTCGAATAAAGAGCCCTTACCTTCAATCACGACGGCTAGTCTCTGGACTAGAGAGACCCCAGCCCCCATCGTTGAGTGGCCTGTACCTTCAAAGGTTTCATTGCCGAGCCGGACAAATCTATTGTGGGAACAGTCTAACTCATCGGTCCTCATGTCAAACTACGAAGGTTTATTTGATGTGAATGTTGTCAGGATTGATTATCGCAGGACCTCCAAGCTTCCGGCCGCGATCAGCATGACTCGAAGGACTCGCAAGATGGGAGAGTCCCTTACGACCCCCATGAGCACGAGGCTCTGGGAGAAGTCGGTCAAGTCAAGTTACGCTTCTGCCAAGACAATTTCTCTATGGAGTAAGCCCATCGCGCCAGTATCCTTCACATCCGGTCTGTTCCAGCTCGATCCCACTCGCAAGGCCTATCGAACTACTTCCGCAGAACCTGTGGCGCTTCAGATGAGCCGAAAGCCTCGCTTCACCAGCGCGCCTCTTCCGATAATTAAGTCTTCTCGTCTTTGGAGCAACAGTCAGACCACTTCTGTTGAACTGGACTGGATGATCATTTCATCTGTGCGGCCCAGAAGTCCATCCGTCGCTTCTATATCTACAGTGGACTCGTTGCTCGTATCCCCTGTGACAGATTCATCATCAGTTAAGACGAGTACCACAAAGGCATCGTCAGCTAAAAGTACTGGCAGTATCTTGAGTGGCTGGTTTGGCAAAAATAAGGTCTCAAAGACCCCCGAGATGCCTGAGTTACCCTACGAATTTACAGTAAAGAACTTAGATGAGATACCCCAGAAGAAGCCAACACACGCGCCCCTTCGCCAATTACACCGACCTAGCATCGCATGTCGCGCGGACTGGGATAACGCGCTACGAGAAGCTATCTTAAATAGCTACCCTGGTTCTATGGCCGCTTTGAGAGCTTCTTACCCTCAGAACTGGGATAGTGAGCTCCAAGCAGCCGTTAAGGCAAGCCACGTATCACCTAAAATTACCCGTAAAGTTGCGTCCCCTCGGGACTGGTCTAATGCGCTTCATATCGCGATCATTTCTTCCTACCCGGAGATTAGGTTCTCGCGAGGCCAAACCTTACCGTCACAATGGAATGCTGCACTCCAAAAAGCTATTGCTCGAAGCGAAGCAGCTCAGCCCTCTCACCTCGATGTTGCTGTTCGACATCCCGTATTCATGGGCGCCATGGAAACGACAGCAGAGACGATCCACCCGGCGATCGGTCCGAAGACGTTGAAGCGGAAGGAAAGCACCAAGAAGCAGGCAGAGAGCCACACAGCTATCATGTCAACCCCTCTGCTCTGGGAGAAGCCAGTCGAGGGAACAGTTGCTACTGCAAATAGTTTGTGGTCCTCCAAGCTCGTGACTAAGACGGCATCTTACTTCGAAGCCGGGTTCGACACGGTGCGTCACGATCTGCGAAAATTCAATAAGATTACTCAGAGGTCCGCGTTCGATGTTGAGCCTAACTTCAGCGAGCAAGGTATGTGGAGGCGTGGCAACAGTAGTAACCAGGGAAGGGATTGGCTAGAGGATTCGATGAAGAAGCGCTTCACGCGCGTCGAGCTACGGTATTAAGGAAGGGTTTCGAAAGGGTTGATGTCAAGGAACGTTACGTAGGAACCAATATATACCCCTTCATACTGTACAACATCTAATAGCGGAGAGCCGCATCATATCATATCATATCATACCATTCTTTTATCCTCTTTTACAGTCTTTACACTGCATTTTTTTTTTAGCGTTTGGAGGCGTGTATATATCTAACGCAGCGTCACGCTTGACGAAGCCAATATGGCAAATTCGAAAAAGTTTTTGTGTTCAATAGAGTCTTGTGAATAGATGCTATGCTACCTTGCGTCTCCAAACCTAGTGCTTTTCGATTCGAGTGTCGTATTCCTACGAGTAAAGAGTGGAGAGAAACTATGAACTATCGGCATAATTACCAACGAGAGGAAATAATTATTTTACTAACTCGACGCAGCGGCTTATCGACGGGGGATAATCTGTTTACTTGGCTGATCTCGTCAACTTTCACCCGCCAATAAGAAGGGGAGGTTATAACTATGTGTATTCCGTGCAAACTCTCCACTCCTATCTATCGCCAAACTTCTCTCTTAGGATACGAAAAATGGCCAAGTTCGTACATGCGAATGATGAACTCTTCAGGAGCGTAGTGTCATAGTCCAGTTAAGAGTATAAGGAGGCAATTAGATATTTATATGTATATATATACCTAGGTATATATAGGTATTTAAACTGACAATTACTCGAGTTGGGAAATGTAGAATTTACGCTACTGCCCACTGGGATTCGGAGATTGTCCTCCCGTTAGTCAAGGAGGTCCATGAGTTGACATTCAATACGACTATAGCAGCCAAGGATATGTGTATAGTTGAGATATAAGTTACAATACCATAATGAGCAATTCTTTGGTAGCTTTCAATATATTACCTAGGCGTTGAGGTGTCTTGTTGAACACTAACCAACTAGCTAATATGCAGTCTGCCATCTCTCTCTGCTTGTCTCCTTGACAGCAGTTGCGCTGGCTATCGCCAATAATGAAAGCACGCCGCTCTATAAGGATCCATCGGCTGTAGTTGAGGATAGAGTGGCCGATTTACTGTCGCGGATGACTATTGAGGACAAGACAGCTCAGTTAGTCCAGGGGGATTTGAGGAATTGGATCAACAACGGAGATGGCAGTTTAAACCAAACCGGCCTTGCATGGAGCATGAAAGCGAGAGCTGGATCATTCTACGTTGGTATTGCCATACCCTGGAAAATGCTCAGTGATGGCATCAGGGCCGGCCAGAACTATCTCGTCCAGAATACGACCCTCGGTATTCCTGCGTGGGTTCAATCCGAAGGCATTCATGGCTTCTTGATCCCGGACGCTACTATCTTCAACTCACCTATCACCCACGCATGTTCCTTCAACCCATCTCTGGTCGAGAAGATGGCAAGGGCTATTGCCCAGGAAGCTCGCGCTTTAGGGGTTAATCAGATATTCGGGCCTCTCGCCGACTTAGCTCGTGAGCTACGGTTCGGCCGTGTGGAGGAGACGTTCGGAGAGGATGGTTACTTGTAAGTGCGTGTATCAGTGCCATTGGAAATAATATTAAAACTTTTTTAGAACTGGTGAACTAGCTTATGCCTACGTAAAAGGTCTCCAGTCCGGTAACGTCTCAGCTATGGTTAAGCATTTCGTAAGGCCCCCTATCTTGAATTTGGGAGTAGCAAAACCTAATATAGCTAGGCGGCGTTCGCGACCCCAGAGCAGGGTATCAACTGTGCTCCTGTGCATGGGGGCGAAAGAGAATTACGCACTACATACCTCCCTCCCTTCAAGCGATCGATCATCGATGCCGGTGCTTTGTCCGTCATGTCAGCTTACCACAGCTATGATGGAATTCCGGCTGTTGCCGACAGACACACCCTTACCGATATCTTAAGAGGTGAATGGGGTTATAAGTATTTTGTGAGAAACTTCTGGAGGCTGTTTATGTGATACATTCTAATAGAGTCAGGTTATGAGCGATGCAGGAGCCACGGACCGCCTGTGTAAAGATTTCAAGATGTGTAAATCCGATCCTATTGACTCAGAAGCTATAGTCAACTATGTAAGTTTTCCAACCACACTCTTTGACCTGACCTGGAAATCATTCTTAACATCTCCCAGGCACTTCCCGCGGGTAACGATGTTGAAATGGGCGGTGGATCTTTCAACTTCGAGAAAATCCCTGAAATGGTAAACTCGGGAAAGCTGTCCACCGAAGTAGTAGACGAGGCCGTGTCTAGACAACTGCGCGCAAAATTCGAAGCTGGCTTATTCGAGAATCCCTTCCCCGGTGTCTCGGATGAAGACCAGTCCAAATACATCAATACCCCCGAGATAGTCGAGCTTGCGAGAGAGCTCGACGCTGAATCTATTGTCCTGCTGGAATATCATGGCAACGTCCTTCCTCTCAAGAAATATGCAAATATTGCCGTTATCGGACCGATGGCTCACGGTTTCATGAATGTTAGTGGGATAAACCCCTTAAAAATAATGACGATGCGAGTACTAACAATTCTCATAAGTACGGCGACTAGTTATGTCCCCTATAAAGCCCAGTATAGAGGAGTAACACCGCTGGACGGTATCAAGGCAGCGAGCACGGGAAAAGTCACTTATGCGCAGGGTTGTGAGCGCTGGTCGAATGACCAATCTGGCTTTGCCGAAGCCGTGGCCGCAGCAGAAGAGGCCGACGTAGCTGTTGTGGTCGTAGGCACATGGTCGCGCGACCAGGACGGGCTTTGGGGCGGACTAAACGCCACCACTGGCGAACACGTCGACGTCCATAATCTAAATCTCGTCGGCGCTATGCCACACTTAGTTAGAGCTATCATTGACACAGGGAAGCCCACTGTTGTCGTATTCAGTTCAGGCAAGCCCATCACCGAGCCTTGGATATCAGATGCAGCTTCGGCCTTGTTGCAACAGTTCTATCCATCCGAGCAGGGAGGGCACGCCCTAGCAGACGTACTCTTCGGCGATGTAAACCCGTCTGGGAAGCTGTCCGTCTCATTCCCTTATGATATAGGAACCACGCCAATCTATTACGACTATCTGAACTCTGCGCGGGCGTATCCCGACCCCGGTTTCGTCTTCGAGGACGGTTCCATAAAGTTCGGCCACAACTACGTGCTTCAGAGCCCTCTACCGCTTTATGAGGTATTATATAACCCCCCATTTCCAACTTCATTCAGCGAGTGCAATTATATAGTACTTTGTTCTCTAATATTTATCGCTAACACGTCAGATACGAATTTAGTTCGGCTACGGCAAGTCCTACAGTACTTTCACATACTCCCACATGACGCTCTCACAATCCACCGTGTCCCCAATGGACACTATCACAGTATCCATCGACATCACCAACAACTCGACGCGCGACGGCGCCGAGGTAGTTCAATTATACGTCCAGGACTTAGTAGCTAGTGTTGTAGTGCCTAACAAACAGCTTCGAGGCTTCTCCAAGGTCTTCGTACCGGCTAGCGTTACCGAGACGGTGAAAATTGACATTACCGTTGCCGACTTGGGGCTCTGGGATATAGGTATGAAGTATGTTGTTGAGCCCGGCGAGTTTACTGTTCATGTCGGTAGCTCGAGCAACGACCTCAGGACCAAGGCTACGTTTACTGTTGTTTAGGTCGGTAAATACCACTAGCTTGAATTTCATCTATAAACACACTACCTCTGCGAGCTGCTGTTTCTTGACAATATACGAGGCTGTAATCCTATGAGTAATAACGGCTGCAACCGCAATCAAAGAGACTAGGTCAGGTATCAACTCGGTCATATGCTGTAGTATCAACAAGACGTATTCATCATTACCTTATAGCTCGTTATACCTGCATGACCAATGATTATAATTGCATTGCCAACTCCCTAGACAATATCCAGTTACCCTCACGTAAGTGTGAAAGTATTGCTCGTCCCATCAAAAGCCGTGATGGCCCCACCAATCAAAGCCTTGCTATCACCGTAATACTTTGTCCTATACGTCCCTGCTTCAGCATCCGGTTCCGTCTCCCAGCTGACAGTAACCTCGCTGTACCCCAACACGGTGTCGGTCCGCTTCCACGTATATACCAGAGACCAGTCCGAGTCGTCCCGAATCTGCGTCCAAGAGTCTCCATCCTGCTTCTCGATAGCCGTAAACGTGCCATCGAGCCGTAAGTTATTGCGCGGGTTCGCGCCGACGAAGGTCGTGTTAACGACGGCGCCGCGCGCATATTTCTCTGCGGGCTGCGAGACGACGTCGCCGAACGACTTACCCAGCGGCGCGTTGTCCTGCACGACGCCCGTGATGAAACTAAGGCTACTGTTGCGGTTATCCGGTGGCGTCGGCCCGGGGTCTGGCGAGCTCGACGAGCCAGGGGCTAGGTACCGGATATTGCTAACGGTGAGATTTATATACGCGGGAAGCTCCCACTGGCCGAAAAGCGTGCTCGCTCCCTCGTAGCGCTGGATGCCGTACTCCTCCGGCGTAGTTAGGTAATGCGCATAGGTGTTAGCAGGTCCGCCCAGTATAACCTTCGGCTCAGTATCTACGATATCGGCGGCGGCGGCCTTAACAGCGGCGCGCCATCTACGCCCAGCCATGGTAGTAGCTTCGCCAGGGCTTACGATTATGACGAATTGGCCGACTCGGAGCAGCTGGACGTCGATGATATTGGGACTCCATGGGTACGGCTCGGACATCTCGCCTACATCGAGGAGGACAGGCTTGGGATTCTGACAAGCTTGCTGCTGGGGTGATGGCGCGCGGAGTAGGCTCTTGATCACCTCCCAGACGGGGCTGGCGCTCGGCTCACCCGAATCGCCCTGCGTAAAGTCAAAAGCGCCAGGGCCGTCCGACGTCCCGGCGGCGAAGGAATAACCTAGCGCAGCCGGACACGTCTGGACCTCGGTTCCGTTCTCCAACTGAAATTTCCAAAAGCTCATGTCGTGGTAGAAGTGGAAGGCTTTAACCGTCGATCCAACAATAGGGGTGCCGGATGAGCCAAACGAGTCCTGATATGAGATGAGCTGTGACCAGATATTGACGGAGAGGATATTTATCTTACATAGACCGACCTAGCACCATCGTATTGGCGTTTCCCGATCTCGTAGCAACTTGCAATCCCGAGATCGAGCTTATCAAAGAGAGGCCCTCGACCGTGACAGTGTTGTGATTTACCGTCTGCGCAAGTGCTGTTCTCTAAGCTACACTGCTGACCCGATCCATCATCACACCTGATATACATGTTATTACCTCCCATTGCTTTGTTACGAGATAAGGCAGGCTTACCATGCGCCAAGTGTGTTAGGAGTTGTGTCCCCGACATTTGCTTGAGAAAATCCAGCGACAAAACCGCTAGCCGCCGAGTCTTCGCCCTCCATAGCTTTCTCGAACATAACTTCTGCTACCCCCTTGTTATCACCAGCCACATGGGTGCTATTTTGGTAAATCGATGTTCCGTGGACAGGATACCACGTCAGAATACCAACGTTTTTGCCGTCAGACGCCCGTTGGAACTTGAGGACGGTCATTTCTTTATCAACATCGTCCTCATATTGAGCTCGTTCCTCGGCAGGGTTAGCTAAGTAAGCGTATATACTCCGACTAAGGTTGCCATCTGTAATATTCACCGCCCCTATTGATATTATTAGAAGTGTCCTACGTAGCAAGTATTTTATCCATACCGAAGTCGAGGTATCCCTAAGCATAAAATATTAGTACTAGATCTTAGTCTTGCTCATTTCTTTGCCTACCTCAGTCAAAGATTCGTGGGCTCTCTTGATCGACAAGACAGCGCCATCAACGATGGCTTGATAACTCTGCTCATCGAAGCCTAAACTGGTTACCTGCGGTAGCAGATAGTTAAACCATGCACCAGGTCCGGAATGGGCGTGCGTCCCTGTCACCGCGACGTTGCCCTTCCCATACACGGCGAAGTCATCACCAAGCGCAGCGAGGCCATCTAGGATACCGAAGCGCACAGCCGTATCACCAGATTGCGTGTCAAGAACCAAGTATGCGAATCGATCATCAGGATTATTAACATCTCCGATTATAAACGCTCGCGAGTAGATACGCTGTCGGAGCCCGGTACCGGTTTGGGAGAGGTCGGCGTAACCAGCGAAGTTGATTTCCACCACAGGCCCAGTTATGTCGGCTTTCCCAACTCCAATCAGATATTTGTCTCCCTTTCCGTCTGCCCTAGTCTTGGATTCCCACGGAGTCTTCGTACCGGCCGCGTGTGAGCTTGCCGTATGCCGAAACCCGAAACTGTGTTGCCGTGGTGCAGAGCCGAACTTTGTTGCGAGGAATGTCCCCAGGATAAAAATGGAAAATACGGACAGGAAGGCCAGTACTGGTCTCCCTGATGTTCGGCGGCTAGAGGCATATGTTGGAGCCATGGCTGCGAATTTTGGTGTTTGGCTACTTCTATGGCCAACCGCTCCTATTTCCAAGCAACAAAGTTCAACCTCATAACTCTCGTCCTATCTCTCTGTTGCCGACCTAGTTGCTTTTATTCATTGACCAAAAAGGAAAGAGACACGAGACAGCTTTTAGAACATGTCTAGCCTCGGTTCCTTTCCCCGTCCAGGATGCAACGTCAACAGAGATAGCAACGTAGATATGCGTACAAACAAGAAGACAGACCTGGAAACAGACCAACCATGTTGAACAACTTCCCAATGGAAACCTTGTAATGGGCCCTGCATCTGCATCCGGCTACCTACCGTAGATGCCGGGCAGATGAGGGCCATATACTGTACTAGTGCATGTATAACTGCATGTATAACCAAGCGCGGTGTGTGACATCATGAGCTGAAATGGAGGGCAATGGGACATAACAGGGACACACAACATCACATGCGTCCCAGGTAGTAGTTAGTGATGGCAAGGCACACGATTGGATCGGGGTTAATCTCAATAGCGGCTCTCAGGCCTCCCCGCCAAGCGAATATACATATGTATTCTACATGGATGGTAGATAGGAGGATAAGGCAGGTCACTAGAGAAATGCGCGGGGTTAAACTAGGTATCAGATAATGAGTTAGACTATGGCATTTCCCATAGGTATCTGCTAGTACTATTTCGAGATTCCCCTTGTTCGTTTCCTTGGCCAATGATGATCTTATCCCGGAAGGTATCTGAAAGTAAATAAATTGTATCTGCAGGTCCCCTCGCTCTGGTGGCCACTTATTGGATATCCGGGCGGAGGCTATGTCGGCTCTCATTTATCCAAATCTTAGCCATGCCAGAAGTAATCCTGTATTTTCCACTAAAGCAATAAAAGACCGGACGCAACTTTACATAAGGCTTCGCCGAAGGATTTCTTATTGGATGGTTCATACTGAAGATAGCTTACCATTGACAGTCTCGAAATAGGAAGCTCTGGAGCACTACTTTCGATGGTTTTTGCATAGTAGTACGTCTTCCACTACACCCATGGAGAAAAGTCATAGAGAAAATATAGATAAGCTTTGCGGGGATTCTAACTACCCCAACATGGACATTGTTAATTCGTCTGGTGACTCGGCGTTAATGAAATTGTGAGACATATAAATACCTGTTTATACCACAACCGTCGATGGCTTCGACTAGGCTACCGATGTGAAGGTGTGTAAGTGTTGCAGGTAAACCACAGTAACTGACATCTTGAAAGTACCTACTAGGCAATGTATGTAAAACACCAAGAAGGATATTGATGAATCTTTTCGGAAGCCAATACACAATAAACATATATCTTTATTTGGGTATCTAACGTCTATAATAACGTATGCTATATATATACATGTCTGAGTCTTATGCTGTAAAACAATTACCGTAGAGGCAAGTATAGAAGCGCCGCCTTAACAGGTAGAATCAAACTCAATCTACTTGGTCATATCTGGTAAGTGGTCTAGCCTCTTCTACGTCGTCGCATTTGTTGTTAATTCTCTAGCATAACTCCTCGATTTATCCCAGCCCAATGATACAATTTTCGCAAAAAGACCATTCATTTAAGTCCGAGTACTACAGTGCAATACCTTTACACGCCTACCGTTCTACTTAAAGACGTCAACTTACGCCCCGACGCTAGCTACTCGTTGCTGGTGTTCGGGTTGGGGTGTTAATCTTCTCGAAATATCGGGTATTCCGACACGATCCGCCATTCGGTCCGGTACGAGATCCGGAGACACTGATCGGATAGGGTACTCGGTAGCCGGCGTTGCAAGCAAGAGACGAGATGTCATGGGTTGAGGTGCCAGAATGGTGGGGGACTGGACCTCTTCGATCACGGTCTTGGGAACCGGTCCCGGCCCTGTTCGAATGCTCGAGGGTAGAATTTGCTCGAATCCTTGTTGTCTTGCAACTTGCTCGATACTCTTGAAATACTGCGGCAGTGCTTAGCTAACGGGTTGTAGATTGCGTCTCTCGGGTATGCTTGCTTACCTTAACAGTCTTAACTTGTAGTTCTAATGTGGCATCCTCATCGCAAACTATCATAGGGTGAGGATGTAACTGGAGACTCGAAAGGGTCCACATGTGATTGACACCCTGCTCGATGCATTTTTGCAAAGCGAGAGCCTTGCGAGCACCGAGGATAATGACGACGACCTCTCGGGCCTCGAGAACAGTCTGGACACCAACTGTTAAGGCCATCTTAGGGACCTTGGCGATGTCGTTGCCAAAGAAACGGGAATTGGCAAGAATAGTATCGTAGGCTAGTGTCTTGACACGAGTTCTTGAGGCTAAACTAGAGCCCGGTTCGTTGAAGGCAATGTGTCCATCTTCCCCGATTCCGCCCAAGAACAAGTCAATGCCTCCGACACGCTTGATCTTGGCCTCGTACTCAACACATTCTGCCTCGAGATTCGGCGCGTTACCGTTGAGGATGTTGACATTATTTGGGTTCACGTTGACGTGAGAGAAGAAATGTTTCCACATGAATGAGTGGTAACTCTCTGGGTGGTCTCGAGGAATGCCGACGTACTCGTCCTATTTTGAGGACATTTAGCACATTAGATATTTGGAGAATGGACGAGGTTATTTCATACCATATTGAAGGTAACAACATTTTCGAAGGAGATCTAATACATTCTAGTCAGCCCCTGCTCGGATATCCTAAGCTAGATATTACCTACGTTTCCGGCCTTGTACTGCTCGACTAATATCTTGTATACACCAAGAGGACTCGAACCGGTAGGGAGGCCAAGCACGAAAGGATGTGAGGGTGTGGGATTGAAGTGTCGGATTCTGTTCATGATGTAATCAGCTACATAGGAGCTAGCAGTGTCCGAGTCGTCGCGGATGATAAGCCTCATTTTGAGAGATATTGAAACCGAAAAATTATGTTATAGATGATGTGATAGCTAGTAAGAGCTGAGGCTGGAGTGGGGAGACGCAGTCGTAGTTTTTGCAAACCTTTCCAAGGAAATAGGAAGAGATGAAAGCATTGAGTAGTACAGTTTTTACATTCATTATGAGCAACAGCCTCATAGTGGCAAAGGCCCACGATGGGAAAGGCCTCAGCGGGATAGCATCGGACCCTACGGTCGGTGATGGAACGTTGGCCCGGATTGGCCCGTTCTCCACCGTGACGATAGCGAACTTGCGCTTGTGACTAGGGAGGCTCGTTGAACGTTGTAGTAACCTGTCCATCAACTGTTTTAGGTCATGTGGTGCTCCGGACCATCTGGTTGGTTGCTTCGGACACTGTGAGTCGCAAGTCCTGACCAACCATAATGTCGATATCTTAGTTTGATAGACAAGACATTGCATACATGATGGCCTACATACTACATCCCTGGAGATCTTGTCTTCGCATAGCGATCGCGAAAAGGGGGTATTGTAAGAAAGCATGATAATGCTGGTAAGCCGAACAGCTACCAAAGAGGAAGTCTTTTTTGACGAGCCTCTGACACCCGAGCTAATGTAATTTCGACATCATATTCCCGGGTAGTGGGGGCCACAAAGCCAAGCCAGGAGGGATTGGTCTCTGTTCGTTCTCTTCAGCCTTAGGTCAACGGCATCGAGCGACGAATATGTATAGCATTTATTTTCTTTTAATATTTTTTTCCCCATGAGAGCCGCAGAGCTGGATTAGGGAAAATCAAAATATCTAGCCTAGCCAAGCAGAGCACTACCGAGAACACATTTAATCTTTTCCTAGGACATTACCGGCTAAGTTTGAAGGAATTGAAAAATAGATGAATCTAGGAGACGAATTTGCGTGATTCGCTCGAGGAAGATGGGAAACCCCTGTAAGGGTAGACCATTGGTAGACCATTGGGCGTCTCTCTCTCAGCCACACCCGTGGGTTTATACTAACCTACTATGTAAGTGCCTAAGTGCCTTATTCGTAGGGTTTAGGGACTTGCACACAGAAGTACGGAATATAATAGGGATAATAGGGAGAAAGCTGTGCAAGTTAGACGGCTCGGTATCATGCAAGCGCCATGTGGCTCGTGCATGGGAGAGCGATCCTTGCTCCTTTAAATATGGATCATTAATTCACTAATTCACTAATTGGGAACTTGGACCTGGAAGGCTGGAAGGTTAGGAAAGTTCACAACAGAATTCTAGAGCCTACAACGTTACATCTAGAAATATTGACCCAAAATGGCAGATATGCACAACAACAACAACCACCACCACCAAGGTGAGACAGTGTGTACCGTTATGGTTCCTCATCCTCTTCCTCTGTATCGTCTCCTTCCTGTCCTTCCTGATCTCGTCTGCCCATTGGTTGCACTGTTCGAGCCTAGACCCTGGTCATATTCCGTTCTGCGCTGAAGCATCCTACCTACTTACTCTCTTACTCTCTTACTATCGTTGTTCGTTGCTCGTTGTTACCTATCACAGAAAAACCCACACCAGCCCAGCCCAGCCTAGCCCGGCACCAGCCATTCCTATCTATCTACTACTTAGTATAGTATGTATATAGTATGTTATGTGCGTGCGCGCTCGTTGCTTCGACTAGTATTATAGCTGCTACGTGAGTACCACCAAGCTAGGCAAGCAGAAGTAACCCGCAATATCACCAAGATCCCCAAATATCACACCAGCATCTCAAAGTCACCTGCCCAGTCTAGGACAAAGTGGCGCTAGATCTGTCTGCGGTCCACTTTCTTAGAATCCCGTCCCGCCCTATCCCATATCGCCGGGGCGTCTACTGCTGCTATTATCGTCCTTAGTTATTGTCCATGTTTATGTTGTTGTTGTATCATTCTTCCTTTTCGTGTTGGGTGGTAGCAGGACCCTACGACTTTCTTTACAAGCATACCTAGAGCTACGTTCAATCAGGGGTGTGTGTGTTTTAAGGTTGAGTCCCTCTTAGCTCACTTCATGTGTCTATCTCGACATACTACATACTCCCGTCTCGAGCGTAACCATTATTTCCTCGTATCAGTCTCTGTTAAGGTTTAGCTGCCATTCGCTACTATTGTACCCGTTCGTTCGTGCTGTAACCCATTGGGTCTTACCAGAACCCCCCCCCGTACTCTCAAACCCAGTGTCTTGGCCCTTTATTCTTTACTTTCCCCTGGCATCGTACATTACTAGATCCAACCAACGGCGTCACCTCGTGAACTTCGAATTTGACCGGCAGGTTTCATTTCTGCCGCTCTAGCCTTTTCCCGCCTATACGAGCCCTGACGCGGCCCTAAGGAAACATTTCACTCTCTTGTCTCTAATTGCCTGTTTCTACTGGAACATGACGAATGCTGCTTGAAGGCGAGACCGACATCTCGTCTTTGGATATCAGCTGCCTTTTTTTCTTTTTCCACCACGCCCGCCCATGTTACCTTCATGACTTATATTTATCCCCAACTAGATCCGCAAACCCGTACGTTGTCATGCAGCCACTCACTTCTGCAATGACTACGTTAAAAAAATCGCTATTAGCGGCTCTGAAGTCGTTGCTGCGCGGGAGGTCCTTCTTACAGGCCCTCCTTGCGTTTTGGGTCAGCCCAAGGGCTTTGAAGGAACACAATGTCGACGGAAAGATATACCCGTCGAGGACTCTCGAGCAATTCTTAGAGGAGGCGGAGAAGCTCTTTTTAGGTCCTATTGATGGGGACGGACTGAGCAGGTATTCGTCAGACCTCAAGCGTCAGTTTCGGGAACGGTTGCATACCCATGCGGAATGCATGCTTCCGTCGTTCAACCACCTGCTTCCGACTGGAAAAGAACGAGGCCAATATCTTGCTCTCGATGTCGGAGGCTCGACGCTAAGGGTTGCGCTGGTGGAACTAAGGGGCCGTGAAACAACTGGGAGGGAGAGCGAGATTGTTCGGATGGTTAGCTTCAAGATTACACCAGAAGTTAAGAAGCTCGAGGGAATGAGTTTCTTCGACTGGATGGCAGCTCGGATCTACGAGGTCATCCAAAAAGACATCTCACATGATCGGGACGTAATACCAATGGGCCTCGCCTGGAGTTTCCCCGTAGAGTACGTATACCTTTCTCAGTCTCGATATATACTAGTGCTAACAATTCGCTATAAGACAAGTATCAATGGGCGGTGGCCTTCTGCTTGGCATGGGTAAAGGTTTTCTAGCTACTAGTGGCCTGCTTGGCCAGGACTTAGGCGAGATCATCAAATTTGCCTGTAAGAAGCGAGGCCTTAATGTTCAACTTGAAGCAATCGTAAATGACAGCACGGCAACGTTGTTATCTCAGGCCTACGTCTACGCCTCGACGCGGTTCGGCCTGATCCTAGGAACCGGCACTAACATCGCAGTCCACCTGCCGGTGTCGGCGTTCAGCCGGTCTAAATACGGCAAACGCCCAGACAGTTGGTTCGAGTCAGCCAGCCACATTATCGTGAACACGGAACTAGGAATGTTCGGGAAGGATATCCTACCCTTAACACGGTGGGACAAACTCCTAAGCGCTGCCCACCCGCGACCCGAATTTCAGCCACTCGAGCACTTACTCAGCGGCTACTACCTCGGAGAGATTTGTCGGCTCGCTATAGTCGAAGCCGTCGAGACTGTCGGACTACTAGGTGGTCAGTTACCACCATCCCTAGAGAAGCCGTACTCGCTGGACACAGAATTACTGTCAAAGATCGAAGAGTAAGTCCCACGTGGCAGACCTGGTTAATATGTGAGGCCAAACTAACACATACACTTAGGGATACGTCACCCACTCTCGAAAAGGCCATATCACAATTTACAACACATCATCCCTCCACCACATCGCCTACCCTCTCCGACATAACCGCAATCCGCACCCTTGCAACATATATATCACGACGATCCGCCGCCCTCCTAGCTGCGTCCGTGTTCTCGCTCTGGGAGCTACGACACGAGACGGAAGCCGAACTCGCCGCGGCATCCCCTAAACCCACACCCTCGAACGATAGCGCCGTAGCCCTACCGTCGCCTTCCCTCGATGAGGAGTTGAAGGAGGTCGAGGTCAGCACAAAAGTGGCTTTCAACGGCTCCGTCATCGAGCACTACCCGCAGTACCGCGCCACGTGCCAACGGTACATCGACGATCTAGTCTCGCACAGCGAGCACGTCGGGTCCGTGGACCTGGTCCCGACAGTTGAAAGTTCCATCATTGGAGCCGCGGTTGCGCTCGCGTGTGCCACGGCCGTCGAGGCATAATAATTGGAAACCCCAATGGTAATACCAAAATCATCTATACTGTAAATATTGCATCTACATGTTTTTGTTTTCATGTCCCGTTTTCTCCAAAAACGCCTGTCCATGCATTCTACCCGGGGAAGAAACAAGAGGGGGGAGCACAGAGTACTTGGACTGTCTAGCCATCACTGGGAGGGGCGGCATGTGGTGTTTGGGTTGGTCAAGCGAGCGATCAAGTAAATAAGCAAATGGGTTTTTGAGGCGGGTATATCAGAAGGCGTTTACGGCTACATAGCATAATTGAGAGATATCATCGCCCGCAAACGAATCATGACGTGTATTGGCCGGATGTATAATAGTTGATATGATATGTGGCTAGCTACTTGAAGCGGCTAACAACTAGCAGCGCATCAAAACAATAAGTCACTGTAAAATACTCAAAAGAACTAAATCTATATTCCTCTAGTATAGTCTAGACCAATTACCTAGGTATGGCAACTAATATCTCTTTATCTTATAAATCCCCACACAAGCCTACGAACGAGGTAAGCGCATGATGAGTATATCATCAAAGGGGTATATTGTTGAAGCTAATTTTGTATGCTCGGCTGGTATCCCTTAGAGAGCCAAAGAGGGCAGTAAATAAAACACGATGACTCCGGTAGTCCCCGCTATACTACATACATGTATTGAAGCATGGTATTTTGGAACGAATATACGCTCATAGTACAGGTGAGGTAATCCCTCAAAACAAAAAAACGCCCAAATGCGTCATGCCGTAATCGTCAGAGCGCTTCGCTTGGTTACCCCGATCAGAATGCCGTTGCTCACTCCAAACTGTTGTTTGCTGCTAAATAATTTTTTTAGTCATCCATCTACATTCTTGCTCAAAGAGGGAGCAAATCTTCTTTTGGTTATTCTGCCGAGAAATATCTCTTGGACTTATTCCTGATCTGCTGCGCCTTGATTTCTTGTGGCACCGCGATGTGGTGAACTATATGAGGCCGGTATACAGTGTCCACTAGAGGTGTCCTGTATAGAACTATTAGCACCCATTTTTTTGGTGAAAAGGGGGAAGGTGGTTGGGCTGTGGTATTTACCAATCATCTACGCTTAGTGGGAAATATTCGTATAATTCCTCCTCCTCTTCTATCGGGCTACCGGCGGCGCCATGGCTTGTGGACGTCCGGTGCAGCCTCGGGCTGGTGAGTGAGTCCGAGGTAGAGCGATTATTTGGGCTTCGTTCGTCCTCGGATAGAGATAGACTGATCGGTACGGATGGGGCTGGTGGATTGTTTTTCGTATGGCTGCCTAGCGCATGCATCTTACCCAGTTCCTTGCCCCAAGACGGAACGGGAGGTCGGTTTATGTTTGGAGAGAGTGCCATCTTCTTGGCTGGATGCGCCTGGGAATTTGCTTGCCCACCGTATGCAGGCGTTGAAGGGGTCCCCCAGGAGGGCGTAGGCGTCGTATTACCTAGAGACGACGACGAATAGTTAGGTAATCCGTGCGAGGAATCTGTCCGCTCTATCTTTAAGTTCGATGCTGTACTTGCGTCGCTATGAGTTCGGGCTCGATCCCCATTACTAGGAGCCTTTTTGTCGCCGGTAAGAGGTACGTCTTTTCTGCTATCGAAATTTCGCGGGCTGCGCCCTCGCACAATGACCGGGCCGCTTTGGATTTCTGCAATTTTCATAAGCTCTCCACCTGTCTTCATCTTTCCCAAGAGACTAATCTGCACCACATAATGCTGCTGTAGTCCTTTTCTTCGGCCATTGTTTGCCGTTGCGCTCTTGAATTGTAAGCGCTTCCAGGAGACCGGTATGCTGACCCGGTGACCGTCGACTTCCTGGCCGCCGGTCAGGTCGAGAGCAATTTTCGGCGGAGCGCTGGCCACTTTGGTTTCTTGCCCTTCGCCCAACGCCGGATTGCTGCTTTTCCACGGGATAGAAATAATCTCGGTGGACTTGCCCTCGATGCTCTCCTTGGCGGATATCGAAGCGAAGAATTCTATAATAGGTATAGCACGGCCTTGCTCATTTACGACCTGCGTGCAATGGCGCGGCATGGTTATCTGTCCCGAACACTGCCATAGGTTCCGTCGGTAACACGTCAGCTCCAGAGGCCGACCGCTTGAGTCGCCGCCGAACACATCTTCGGCAACGAAGAACATGCCATATAGCTCCGCCGACATGGATACTTCGGAATATGCGCCTAACGCATCATCCAGGGGGGTAGCTTTCGCGGCCGTCGCGGAGAAGCTAAGAAGCTTGTCATCCGGCTGCTGCGGAGATGACCCTTCATCGTGGAAGTCTTCGGTATGCGGCGCGGCCTCGTATGGTTTCGAGTAGTTGAAGGGATCTTCGAACGTTGTAGAGAAGGTTTCGAAGTCGTAAGAGGGAGTAAAAGGTAAAGGAGGTAAATTGCCATTGACGTTTTCGCTACTTGGATCTTAGCATTGCTACTTATACGAGCTACTTATATCCTGCATTTACAACGACCATCGCCCACACGGACACATATATCATCGTGGCAGCGGTAAGATGTACCACCAGGTTTGACTTACAGCATCGACTCATCAAAGTTGAGATCAGGTTCGAAAGGCTCGATGCCTAGGCCGGACCCTGACATGGCATTTAATCCCATGGCGGCGTCTCCTGGACTGGCGCCTGACTGCAGCGCCGGCATGGAGTTGAAAGTTGCCATCGCATCGTAAAGGGCTAATACCCTTTGCGGCCGGAGGTTGTGCTTACGCTCGTGCTTATGCTGAGGCTGGCGTAGACCTGATTACCGAATCGGACGGTGCTAAAAAGTGGGAGGACACGAGGATTAGCATTCACCGTCGCCGGAGCAAGTGGAGTGGTCGCAATGTCAAGGTGTAAAGTTATTAGCGACCTGGTAGATGTTGGAGTTAGGACGTTAGGACGTTAGGACGTTAGAACAATGTACTTCAATGTGATATCACTACGACGGAGAGAGCGCAGCGGAGGCGGAGGCGCGAAACAGTCAATTAGGTGATAGCTTTGAGCCAAGAACCAAGGGGGTGGAGGTGGCTGGTCTGTTCACGACCAGGTTCAAGTTAAAAGCTATCCCGTTAGGTACAAGCACAAGCGTGCTTGGTGCTTGGTGCTTGGTGCTTGGTGCTTGGTGCCCTTGGTGTAGTACTGGGCAAAGCTCTGGGGTAAAATAGACCGGATGATACTTAAATGGGGCTCGATAGGGGTTTTCGGGATCTCTAATAGTGCTAAACGTGCTAGACCGTTAAAGGTTTATCGGTGTTTCTCCTTGGTCTTGGAGAGTGGAGCGTTACGGACATAGATTCTGCAGATATAATTTCTACCTTCTGGAACGAGTTAAAAAGAATATTTGGGTGGGGGGGTGACAAGACCGGCCCCCCCTGGCTTCTGGGGAGATATATCATCACATTGCCGAAAGACTTTATCTACCTAATCATCTGTCATTAATTACTTGCCTCCAACCCAAACCCTCGGTGCTTTTTCTTGCATGTACGTCCGTTCTTACATATTGGAGCTAGATCGCGTTGTAGTGCAAAGAATTTGTTATCAGTCTTGTTATCATTTCTCGTCTATTCGTCTATTCGTCGTGAAGATCAAAGCTCAATTGGGGGGGAAATCCGGAGGGCGGTGCCTGTACAAGGTAGTTACGCCGCGGTTCTATTTTTAAACAGAGACGGCCGCAACGGGGACGGGGGCTTAAATTCAATCGATCAAATGTGTTTTAGGATTCAAAAAAGCTTCAGGAAACAATTCGTGATTGGATAAGAAGGTACTCCCTAGGCCCCTAAACTCCGGCTTGCTCGCCTTGAATATAAAATCACAGGAGAGAGGCATGTTTCGCAAGCTCTTATTAGAACAGAGCGCATTTCACACCGGATCCCCACCTACTTCTGCTTCGCTAGGTGGAAAGGGGTACCACAAGTGTTAGTAGCCTCATATACCACTTCTGAAAGAGTATTAGTTCAACCTAGGTCAGACCACTGCATAAAATCCACCAGATTAGCAAGCATGGTTTAAGACTCAAGACTCAGGCGGGATAGATACTCACGTTTTCTGGCGAATTTGTAATCTCGTCGAACGTCTGTTGGACGTCAAAGCCCATGGCCGCAAGTGGCTCGTATGCTTCGTCAAGAACCTAGACATTTTAGCTGTAATGGTCATACCTAATACAACTTTCAAGATTACCTACCCAACTGAGGATACTCTTTGCAGACTTGTGCGCCTTATTCTGTCTTACGCCCATGAATACCAGCCCTTGTAGGATTAACCGTGACTGGGCTGTAGAAGGCACTATTGGAGCGAGAATGCCACCAATATCTTCGCCGCTAGTCGAGTGAAGTGGAGGGATATATGTCGACAGGCGACTTCCTGCTGTGCAGATGATGACTGTTCCTAACAGGTTATCCATCGAGTTCTTGGCTCGGACTACTCCGCTTGTATTCGTTTCGTGTAGTGCAAATCGATAAAGCTCCACGACCTCGGGTCCTGCGTGTGTCGCTACATGGTTTAACACCGACTCGGCGTTATCGAGTCCGTGGATTAAGTCAAAGCTAAGACTTGCTCGCTGGATGCTTTGTAGAAGGCCTTCTGGTGCTGTCCAAGCTCCGAGATCTTCGATGGCCATGTTCGTCAGTCGTTTCGGGAACTGTGTATCCCAACCGACGTTGTTAAACCAGCTCTTGTTACTCCCGCTTTCATCGACAGGTACTCCTGGAAACACTCCCGGGAATGTAAGCCCAAGTTGGAGTGTCTTGACGCCTGGCTTCTGAAGTAACGCTCGCAACGCACGACGGTGTAGTGACCTGCCAATCGATACATTTCGTTTCGCCGGATCGACAAAAAGAGCGCCAATGGCACCAACACCCTTCGTGTAATACGTGGCCACGAAACCGTACAATGTTTTTGTGCTGCTGTTCCGCACGACAAAGTGTGCCTCCTCAATATGCGTATTAAACAACTCGAACGAATGAGCTCCTGCCGTGAGATACGGAAGACTCGGTGTACTAGAGCGAGCCAGAGTTCTTAGCAGCTCCTCCAGGGCAGCAGCATCTCGCTCGCGGTCGTAGTTCTCAACAAGCCACTGCTGTCTTGTCTTGGAGACCTTCTTACTCTTCCTCATAGTTCCTGGCATCGACCCCTGAGGGGTTATCTCTCCGTACAAGGCACGAACGAGAGAAGCCATGGCCGTTTCTGTAAAATCAAAGGTGCAGACGTACGTCCCGATGGATTTGTCCATTGCGAAATCATATGGAGAACTGACCGCAACCACTATGAGCGACTTCTTTTGGCCGGTCCCACGAAGCATATGGCACATCATTGCTACATGCTTTGTGAATCCAGTTTGGTACATATTCCGGTTAGCATCAGCTGTAACGATAATTATCGCCGATGCTCTATTAATCAGATTCTCGTGCACTGTAGATTTATTAGCTTAGTTCCAACGTCGAGGCAAACATTCCTCTAACCTGGTCTGAGTCCATTTGCCGTATATGATGTGTGAAGAAGTTTGCCATTGCGTATACGAGCTATTGATCTACCCAATTCTCGAAAGACACCTTCTCCACTCATGATTGCTCCACGCTCCTGGTGAATCCATTTCTCGTGCAGGGAGGGAGCTTTGTTACCCTTTTCCAACATGTTTTTAGTAGCTGCCGAAGCTGGCAGAGGCTTGACTAGTGGCGTCAGTAGTAGGAGTTCTTCCTCCTGGAGTAAGCTCTGCGAAAGGGGAAGTAGATTGTCCTTGTCCCGGACGACTGCAATTGATTGGTCGTAGGCCTTCCGAGAGAGTGCAAGATGTGTAGGATGTATCTTAGATAGTAACGATAATCCGGGAGGATTCAGTGCCTTCTGCCAAGACGTGCATACGCTCTTCATCCGCAACACTCGCTTTAGGGAAGTATAGATCCGGTCTTTCGATATAATACCGTTCTCAACGCCTAACTTTAGCCCCGAAATGGCCTCTAGTTGTACGTCGTGTGCTCTACATAGAAGCACTAGATCATTGCCTGCCTCAACGGCCATTACAGTACCCCCTTTTACGCCGTACTCTTGTATAAGCGACTGCATCTCGAGGCATTCCGAGATAGCGACGCCTTTGAACCCTAGTTCGTTTCTCAAGAGGTCGTCCACAACCTGGTCTGATAGGCAAGCATGCATGACATTCATTCCAGCACTCTGGATCCCGCATCCACCGACAAACATGGCGTCCAAACGTCCAGCACTTATGGCATTCCGGAACGGTATAAGAGCACTGAGGTTAAGTTCTTCCAGAGTTTGAGTGATGATAGGCATGTCTAAGCTAGAACCGAGGAAATCAATATTCCCGTAGGACGGGAAATGCTTTCCGCAGGTAGCTACGCCAGCATCCTTAAACCCGTTGATGGCAGCAATACAAAACTGAGATGCCTCTTGAGGATCATCCCCGGTAGCTCGAACGCCGAGGGGTTGGTGTCGAGCATTGGTCAAGACATCTAAAACAGGACCGAGAATAAGATTGACTCCAACAGCAGAAACTTCGGTTGCTGTAGCTCTTGCTACGCTGTAGGCTAGCTCTATGCTCCCCGTAGCAGCGACGCCCATCGCGCTGGGGAATTGACAGATATAGTCTTCATCAAATAGACTATTGACGCCCCCATTTTCTTGGTCAACAGCAATTAATAAAGGTTGAGGGTGTCCTGCTTGGTGTGCTATCGTCTGAAGTTCTTGGACCAGAGAAGCAGTCTGCTCAGCAGCTATGTAGTATATAAGTCAGTAAGTATCCTCTTTATATAATACTCTACAAGTATCAATATGGCTCTTAGAGATGAAAGTACATTTAAGATTCTTAGCTGTCAAAATGATTGAACCTAAATGGTGGTTCTCAATGAGATTTCTGATTTGAGGCGTTACTTCTGTGCCATCCCATCCCATGATCAACATTTGACCAATAGCCCTATAGGAGGTAATTAGCGAAGTGTTCTAGCCATGCAGCCGGATCGCCCCGGCCGAAGCTTAGCCATGAGGCTCTTGGTGAAGAGGGAGTGTACCAATCGAGATTCTGCCATAGTGGGTCGAGTTCGCTTTCCGACTTAGTCATTTTGCGGTCGTATTGTTACAACTTGATGCTATACTAGTCAAAGACACCCTGAACTAAAAAGATGTAAGCACGGAAGATAAGCACGGGTTATCTCCATCCAACAACAACAAGTGTAACGAGGAGTGAGAAGACCAAAAGTCACAAGACGGGTTAGTGTTAAGTTGGTGAAATTGGGGTATGCAGAGCGAGTGTGTAGAGCCTCGGGCAAAACACCCGATGTGGTGCAGCTCTCCTCGCGCGGTACGGCCGGTTTGGCGAGAAAGAGAAGGGGAGAGAATAGAATTCACGATGGTAGACTACAGATTACAGACTGCTTACAGACCCATAAGATCTGCTATAATGAGAATGTGGTGTGTTACTGACAGCTTACAGAGATGGTAGTACATATAGAATTGAGATACAGAATAAGGCGGTAGCATGCATAAGCCGCGGATTTAGAGGCCTATTCTCGATAAAACCCCTGGAGCCGCTTGAAACGGATAAGCAGTAGTACATGGTACTCAAATCTGGGGAGGGCTGGAAGGGGGAAACAGCGCTATTCCGCTTTAATTTTAGTTGTTATTCTCACCTGTATCATGTATGTACCTAAGATACAATAAATACATAATCTCTTCATCCGGTGACTTTGATCTTATCGGGGCTTCTCCCCTCTGGAAACCTTCCCACCACTTCGCAACGTTACCTTACACTTAGGTACTACGGGAATCCTATGTAGGAATTCTACGATCCATTTTTTCCCTCGTCTCTTGCCTCTTTGCAATGGATGGTCACAGAGAGATTTATCTACTGTAACAGTTGTAAGCTCAACCAAAGGATCCGACGACCGTCCACAAATGGTAACAGTGTATCGAGCATCTCACACAAGAGTCTCTCGTCAGCTAGATTGCCACACCCTCTTAGTAACCAACCCCTCGGCCTAGAAACGCCTAGAGGTCGCTGGCCAGTCTCTTTAGTCACATGTTCCTACCATTAGCCTGTAAATTGGCATCAGTCCATTCACAAAACTGGGTTTGACTGGGTTTGACTGTCACAATCGCAAGACTGACGTCCGACTGGTTCCACTGGTCGAAGTACTGTGTAAGTGAAAATAGGGGACGTCACCTGTCGTCGGCCCTGTTAGTGACACTGTTCTGGCCTCCCAGTTGGCATCCCACACGCCGAGTTTTCGGACCCAACATCGGCAACCCTTCGGCGTAGACGGATATGCGTTGTGATATCATGGGTAAATAAATACATATGTATGAGCTATTTCCCGTCTTCTGGCTTGTTTTATTCATGGAGACAATAATACTTGCTCGAGGGGCAATAGTCCTACTACTCGATAAGACATAACACAGAATATACCAAAGTGATATATACAATTTCTTCGCTTATATTCCAATACTCATCATGCCTCACTCTCTACCCTCGTCGCCCAAGTCCACACCAAGGGATGGTCGAAATGGCATCACCAAATTCACCAACTGCCGCATATTAAAAGGCGACAAACTACTAGATGAGGACCTATGGGTTAATTCCGTCACCGGAAAAATCATCAGAAGCCAAGCTGCCTTTTACGATGATTTCGTCGTCCCAGACGAGGTTATTAACCTCGGTGGTCGTATCTTATCTCCTGGTATCATTGAGTGCCAGCTCAACGGAGCCTTCGGTTTCAACTTCTCGACCCTTCTCGAACCCGCCGTATACGCTAAGAAGGTCAAGGAGTTGAATAAACAGATGGTCAAAACGGGCGTCACATCATATGTGCCTACAATCACAAGTCAACGGAGCGAACTATACCAGCGAGTCCTACCGTATCTTGGTCCATCAGGATATCGCCAGATCGCAGAGGATGGAGCAGAATCTCTCGGTGCCCATTGCGAAGGCCCGTTCTTAAGTCCAACCAAGAACGGAGTTCACAATGTGGATGTAATACGAGAAGCCGAGACCTTTGCGGATCTGGAGGAATGTTATGGAGCAGAAAACCTTGATCACGAAGATGCATTCCGTCCCACGCCGATAAAGATGGTTACCGCTGCACCGGAGCGGGGACAAATGACAAAACTCATCCCCGAACTCACAAAACGGGGCATCATCTACTCGATTGGACACTCAGAAGCCACATACGAACAGGCGTCGGCAGCCGTTGCTGCTGGCGCGACGATGATCACACACCTTTTCAACGCCATGCGACCCTTACACCACCGAAATCCCGGTATCTTCGGCGTCCTAGGCCTGGCAGAAAGCTTACCTCGCCCCTATTTTGGCATCATCGCTGATGGGGAGCACTTACACCCCACAACAATCAAGATTGCCTTCAACGCCCATCCCGACGGGTTCATCCTCGTCACCGACTCCATGCACCTGGTCGGCCTGCCAGATGGTGCTTACCAGTGGACCAACGGCGAGAGCGCAAGCCACATCGTGAAGAAAGGAAATAAATTGATACTAGAGGGCACCGACAGAATTGCTGGAAGGTAAGGATCAACTTCTATACTCTAAGATAAATGACGACGTGGCTAACAAATTTACTAGCTCAATAACACTGATCGAATGTGTTTCCAACTTCCTCAGCTGGTCCGGCGCAACCATACCCCAAGCCCTAAAGGCAGTCACATCGACACCGGCCGCTATGTTAGGCTTACAGGGTATCAAGGGGTGTCTTGACGACGGCGCGGATGCGGACTTAGTGGTGTTGTCGGAGAAGCGAACAGAGAACCGCACTGACCTCATTGTCGACGAGGTATGGAAGTTTGGTACGAAAGTGTTTAGTCGCTCATAGTTAGAAACCGGAGAAAAGATGACAGACAGGTATACTTGAAGAGATAAAATTGTTGTATCTGAAGGTCACGGAGTCAGGCGGTATATTTATATCGGCATAGAATGTTGTTATAACTGGGTTTACACGCTTGGTAGACAAGACTTGATATTAAGATCTCTATTAGATGGGAGCCCATCATTGCGATACCCAGTCACCTTAGTATATTGAGAAAGTTAAATATTTTTGCTAATTTGCTATGCTGGCTGTTCCTCTATGTTCTAAGGATGTTTATATCTACGTTGCGTTAGGTCGCTTAACAGTCAACTTGAAGGGCTTCATCAAACGATCCATGGGGGTAATGCCATTCCGTCCCAGAGGTGCTGGTTTCTGAATACCACCACCTCTCCAACCAACGCTTGGCCCGTAGTTCACTGTCGTGGCGTGAAAGCTCTTTGCGGGACGTGTCTGCTCCTCCACTGGGGCCTCGTTTTCCTTTTCGGCGGTTTCTAGCTCATCTGCCGGCTGCGGTTTGGTCGGCGAGCTTGAGAAACAGGTATATTGTTTTGGCTTAGGCGGTGGTTCTTCCTTTATTATTTGCTTATTTGTAGGAGGTCTACTTGATAATTTCGCGGAGCCTAATTTGTGACTTGGCGGACAAGGCTCCGTGGTGGTATTTTGTTGTGTCTGACGCAGTCCCACGGCTGACGAGGCTACCTGAGATCCTGTGCGTTGCCCACTACCTCGGGAAAGCTGGTAAGGGCGAGGGGGGTACCTCACCTGTTGGTTTGACTTTGGGGGCACGGCCGTTGCGGTATTATCGAGTTGTTTAGACTTGTCATGGTTCGTCACACCGTATCCGTAACCTATTAGACTCCTTTGGGAAGGGGCTCGGTTTGTTGGGGGCCTTTTTGTTGCTGGCCCTTGAAGGGCCTTTCCGGGAATTTTGGTTGTCTCAGCTTCACCAACGCTCGCATAGTGAGCCCCAGCCGTCGTAAAACCTGGTTGCGGTGCCGCAGCTGGCACTGTAAATGAAGCAGATCTCTGCATTGTCGTTGCGTACGGAGCAGCCCAGCCATCGATTGATTCCTCGGCGATCTGAGCACTTACGTGATTGAGCTTCTGCCGTTTACGCTGGGTGTATCCGCGCCCGTTTTCAGAGGCGTTAGAAGATTCCTGCGCCTGGCTCGGATCGACTGGGTAGAGATTGTCTTCTATAACCGTCATCATTGGCATGCCCTTGTAGATGGCACTTTCTGAGGGCAGTTCCCTTCTTAATATCCTGGCTATTTCCGACACAATTGGACGGTCAAGAGACGGTCCTTTCTTGAGGAAGGTCGAGGAAGGGAGATTTTCAACGAAAGGAGAGACCTGGAGGGCTTCTTTGCTTCCGCTAGAAGAATATAAAGGGCAGCTAAGATAGAGTAAAGCCTGGGCTCGGGTCATTGCTACATATAGTAGACGACGTTCCTCCTTGTCGTCATCAGACCGCATATGCGGTATAGATCCCTTATAGACTGCCGGGATGAAGACGACAGGCCACTCTAGGCCCTTTGCGGCATGTATTGTAGAGACTGTGACTTGAGGCTTCCCATCCTTGTCCTTATCATCAGTCTGTTTGTCGGAGGCTAGCGAAACGTTCGCCAAGAATCGTGCTAATGCGTCGTCGTCTGACGCCTGCTGGGTATCTTCAAGAACTGGAAGCATTTCTTCTTCCGGCCTATCCTGATTCATGAACTCCGCAGCGAGGCTCACAAATTCTTGAACATTTGCCCATCGCAACTCATACTCGGGTCCATGCGTCTCCTCCAGGTGCTTCTCAAATTGTAGGTCTTTGAGTAACTGGTTGATAATCTCAACTAAATTAACGGGAGTTCCTTCGCCCGGTTGCAACTTACTTTGCAAGTTGGTAATTAATTTAATAAGGCTACCGCTGATCTTCTGCTCTGTTTGTTTCCTAATGGTCGTCTTTGCTGTTCGCTCACCTCGACAATGTTTTCGCAGTAACTCCCAGAGGCTCATAGAGTTGCGCTCGGCTTCTTCCAGAAGTGACCTGGCCGTTACATCGCCGATGCCCCGCTTTGGTACATTCATAATCCGCGCAAGAGCATCGTTGTTATCAGGCTGATAGATTACTCGTAAGTAATCTAATATGGCTTTAATTTCAGCCCGCTCGTAGAACTTGAAACCTCCTAAAAGCTCGACATTAGTATGAGGAATAATGTAAATGAGGACACGCGATTATTATAATACGTACCGACCATCTTGTAAGCTATACCTTCTCTACCTAGAGCAGATTCTATGTGCCTGGATAACGAGGCAGATCGAAGCAAGATCGCGATGTCGTTAGAATTTATCATATTCCCAGACATTATCTTAATCCGCTTAATTTCCGAGACAATCCAATCTGCCTCTGCCGTAGAACTCTTCAGCATGCGAAGAACTGGCCGGGTACCTTTGGCATGAATTGGCAATAAGGCTTTCTTATATCTTTCTTCATCTTGCTGAATGACACTCAAGGACACGTCGAGAATGGAGCTTGATGACCTGTAATTTTCCTCGAGGGATATCTCATCGGTACCGGGAAAGTCACGAAGTAGGCGATGGAGATTTCTTATTTCTGCCGATCGCCAACCATAGATACTCTGATCCGGATCGCCAACTATTGTTATACATCGATTCTTCTGAGCGAAAAGCTTCATTAGATCATACTGCACCCCGTTCGTATCTTGATATTCGTCGATCAAGACTGTCTCGATATTACGGACGCAATCGGGGCATTTGCGAAGGAGCTCGACGCAACGGGTAAGAAGATCGTCATAATCAAGCAGATTCGACCGTTCGAGGTAGGCCTGGTATTCTTGATAGCATTGCTCTAAGGCCTTAGATTCTATGCCATCGCCCTTTTTGGACTTGCCGGCTTGCTCATCGGAAACTCCTTTAGCCTTGCGCTTGCTGATCCAACCACGAGCCATAGCAGGATCGATTTGAGCATCGAGCCTCTTGCAGATACGCTTGATAATGGCCCTCGAGTCTGAGTCATCTGCAATACCAAACTTGGGATCCAGCCCAATACGTTGGCCATATGTAGCTAGATATCTGCGAGCAATACTGTGAAAGGTGCCCAATACAATCTTCTTTTCGCGACCATTTCCTAGCGCCTGACCGATGCGCATTCTCATCTCGTTTGAGGCCTTGACGGTAAAGGTTGCGACGATGACATCGCGTGGTCGGATTCCGACATGGTCGATGAGCCAAACGACACGAGAGGTAAGAGTATGAGTCTTGCCGCTACCCGGACCAGCCAATATAGCGACTGTCGGTGCGCGGGAGCTAACAGCACGGGACTGTGCCTTATTCAGCGATTTGAATAAATCATTGCCCTGAGTACCCGGCATAGTTGGAGATACTCGCTCATCGGGATAATATATTTAAAGTGCCGAACATTTAATTAGTATATGGATTATATACTTGGACCGTAGTATTCTTAAGTCATAGGTCGCATCAACGTTAAGGCTGCGTCGAGGTTAACCAGGTTATATTGGGTACACGAACGAACGCGTCTAGAGAGACGCAGACGCGACGGGCTGTTTTCGGTTGGGAATTGAAGCTTCCAGTTAAGGATTGACCCTACCATCTGCGGATCGCCAAGTCAGGTGATATTAGAGAGATTATGTTACGTACTGGCCGTATTATGTAATTATACAATTATGTATGGGTTATGCTAGTATACATTAGGTACATAATATATAATATACTCCCTAAGATTAGAAGCTTAGACCCCAAATTGGCAAGTTTCCGTTCCCGATTCGAAGTTGTCCCGCTGCTATTTTTCCCTTGCATTGCCCTCCACCCATCAACTGCATCACCAACTGGTATCAGGGGGAGGCAATTCTGTTTCTCGCTATCAACCAATCATATCAATGATCCCAAGAAACATGTTTCGCCAAACAATTCCGCCTTGTAGCTGCACATCGCTTCATTGTGATCTATGCCAGTCACTTCACGGGACTATACCAAAATCATGATAAAAGAGGATTCCATTCAAAGACTTAATAATGTCACAGATGTGACGAGACTGAAAGGGGATGGCTCTCACCTTTTATTACCATCTTTAAGACCAGGTTGAGGCATACGGTCGCCATTTTATTCGTTCATGTTTATGTGCGTAGCATAGTCGGGGTTCAAACTTCGCAAACTTGTCGGTACAGATGGGCCTAGTCTAGCCAATCGGCGGGAACAGAGTGACCTGCAGAAGCGCAAGGGGAAGAGTTGAAGGGTGGGGTTGGGTGATGTTGCTTGAATCCGCACCCAATCAGCCGTGACGCTTGACTCGTCGGCGCTTAAGTCCCCTGTCGTTACGATGTTGTCCTCCAACCAGAATTGGAAGAACGGGATCTACCACTGCCTTCTACAGATATGAATATGGCAATCTGTCACCCTCACTGGGCGCTTTCGCTGGGGGCTATTATGCATGGAGCCAAGTGCTTGGAGGGGGGCTGACGAGTGAGAGGCCAGTTCACATCCAAAGCGCCTGTCTGCTCCTGTTAGCATCGCACATTTCGGCCCACTTCGACACACTGCCGAACATCACCAGCCGCTATATACCCTTTGTCCTCCCGACTCTGCGTCTTACCTTGTCGGATTTCCATCAGAATGTGTTTCGATAGATCCGCCAGGAGGTTTGACTAAGGAGTCGGGATATAGTATCTCATGAAGATCTGGGTCACACACAATGCAACTAGGGCTTTATAGCACGCTGTCCTCGCTTCAGTTTGTCTTGCTTCTTCTTTTCTCGACGTTCGCTCCGTTTTGTTCTGCCTCTGTAATACAAGACCTCCAAAGCAACTATTTTGATCCGGCTCCAACGCCTGAAGACGGCCCTTCCCTCTCGGCTGGAGCCCTTCGAGATACATCTTACCTTCCCGCGCAAATTGGTGGCATAGTCGGATCATATGCATTTTCGCTCGTTGTAGTCGCTGCTATTATACTTCTCTTGGCAAAGAAACGTCGTGAGCATCTTACAGCAGGAGAGGAAGACCTAGAAGGCCAGTTCCCATATCAATTCGCTTTTTTACCATCTGGGCAAGCTGGCGGCCAGCCTCAGTACGGTCTCGATCCGCCCAAATCGCCAGTCAAGAACTTTTCTTACCCAACACCACCAACACCGATAAGTGTAAAGAGCCCGACGAGCCCGACGAGCCCTTACATTGTCCCCTCACTTCATTCCACAAGTACACTTGGTGTAAATCCTTTAGTCGATCCGCGAGTCGTTGCAGCAGATCGCAAGATGGCGCAACAGCAGCTGGAAGAAATGTACAAGCTTGTACTAGAGCAAGAGGCTGCGAAGGAAGCAGGCGTTACCTTGGACCAGCTGCCGGTACCGCTCTCCCAACAGCAGACCCCAAAGCAGGGTATCTTGAAGAGGAGCAAGAATAAGCCTGCGAGCCTTGATCTTGCACAGTCTGGAGCGGAAAAGCCCCAGTCTCGAGCATCTTCTATCTTATCCGCTTTCAAATCGCCCCGAAAGAAGAATGTTAAAGGCATCAGTATCTCGTCTCCGATTATGACGCCTATGTCAGGCACCTTTCCACGCCAGGAGGAGGAGGAATTGAGAGTAATTCCTCCCCGCTACTACGCACCGGCATCTCCACCCCCAGTTCCGACAGACCAGGCCCCATATGCACGGGCAAGCAGGCAGCACGGACCAGTAGTGCCTATCACTCCACCGGATATCTCTCCGGAGAGTACGCAGAGCATTGACGAACGGTTAGGTCATCTGCGGAGCAACTCGCAATACACTGAGCCTGACCCGGTGTCGGCAGTTTCAGAACGTTCTACCGCGCCTCTCGTTGGTTTGCCTTCATCACCGAAGCCAGGCGTTAGTCGCTTCCCTTCTCTTCCAGCATCCCCGAAACCCGGGGCGACGTTCCCGACTTCGCCCGGACCGGAACAGCGATCCTTTTCGCGGCCAAATGCTCCCTCGGCCATTCGGACTGGCGGTACTCTTCCGCTACGAGCCTACGAGCCTTCTCTCAGTTCGCCTTCGGCACAGACAACCAAGCAAACAACGTTCGAAAGGAGTCTCCCTCTATCGCCTTCGGGGCTTAGGACACCGTGGACTGGCGCACCAGTGCCCTACTCACCATACCAACCATTCTCGCCCGTAGTTCCTATCACACCATCGTTGGTTACTAAAGCGGACCGAAAGAGGATGAAACAACTGCAGCCAAAGACACCAACAATGGAAATGGTTAAGGGTGATGACGAAGTGTGGTAGACATGTGCTTATGTGGGGGTTTAACGAAAGGTCTGGGTGGGTTGATAAGGACCTGAGTCTATCGCCCTGGCGTCTTGGATGGATTCTTGCGTTTCAAAATCTAATGAGTGATGTAGAGGGTCTTTACTTTCTGGTTTAAAGCAGTTGCTTATAGTTTTATATACCACTTTTTGAAATCGGAGGAGTTAATTCACATTGGGGTTCCAGCTGTGCATTACTCCTAGCTATAATATGAGTTATGCAACCCTGACTACTAACGCCTCCTTTACTTTATGATAATGTATGTGCATATAAATTCGCATAAGTACAAGCATTCAAACCATTTTAGGAACTCAAGAAGTCAGCATAAGATACATACATCGGCTACTCTCGCGGTGGGTCAACTTAGGACTTAGACAGGTAGGTATTGTGAACCGAACAGATACTATATATGTTCGTACTCATTACAGCGTTGGCTTCTGTTATGACTGTGATTGGCTGGAACGAACCTCGGGTAGGAGTCGAACCTGGCCATTGATTGACGGACCCAAGCGGTTCCTAAGCAGTTCCTAAGCGGTTCATTATCTATGACGACTTGTCTTGTTTTGCTAAGAACCTGATTCTCAAGTTGTACCAAACACTCGGACTATTAATCAATGCAATTAATATGATATAACATCGTGAGCAGCCACCCGTTGACAACAAGGTTAGGCTACCTTAAAATACAGGTACCTTACAGGCACCTTACAGGCGATTAGTACATGCGGGTAGTGTAGTACAATTAGTACAACCTTATATCACAAAGGGCTGAACGGGATAAGGTAAGGTACCTAGGTATGTACATAGGCCTAGGTAGGTACGGACGTAATCCGTTACACAATATGTGTAGTGCAGGTAGCCGCTATACTTGAATAAGAGAACGAACCTAGGGAAAGTGGCTGAACCACCACGTACTTCGAGACTTATCAGTGGCTAGTGGCACATGGCCCATAAATCCCCACAGTTACCCACCAATAGTGCGGCCTAGAAGGGTAAGCCGAAGATCTTCCAAAGCAGGTTCAACCAGGTTCAGCCAGGTTCTAAGAAGGCAGGGCTCGTTAAGAGGTCTGAGCGTGACGATTGAGCCCGATCGATTTTACTTATGTACATATGCTACATACGCTTATTCCATCAATCCGCCCGTCCATCGTATGATTCTCTCAAGCCTCCATCAAGAATTCCCCCGTTTTTACATTCTCGCAATTGGGTTTTTCGCGCTTTGTCGACATTCCCGCCCTATCGGATTCTAAGATCTTAGAAAAAGCAAATCTCTAATCTCGCTGTGTGCGTGCGACAGGAGTTGCCCACCAACAACTCGTTCGAGTCCAAGGTAATAAGATAATTAATAACGCCTTTACAAGTTACGGCAGAAGGGCAACGAAGAGCGTTAGTTTAGCAAAAACCGACGTCTACCTCTAGACCTTACCAGACCTCGCGTACACTACCTAATACTAGCCTTGGGTAGATTATCCCCTCTCCGCCCTCTTTAAAGTGCTGTTTTTTTTTAAAAACGGGGAGAGAGAGACTTGGCGTCGCAAAGCAAGCTTTTCCCGTCTTTTCCCATTCTGCCTTTCCGCATTCTGCTTGTCCCATTTCTAGCCTACCCATTTCAACCCCGAACAACAATCTTAGTCGAACAAATTCCACTGTGTCTACAACATTCTGTCGCCTTCCCCATCTAGGCTTATATACCCTCAAGATCGATTGCGTGAGCCAACCAGCCGATCCATTTTCATATTCATCCATCGGTGCCCATACGCGCACTATACTATTCCAGGCCGTACGATCAGGTCATCCCAACGACAATACCCCTGGTCGTTCCCGCCATATGCAAACCCCCTCCTTTCGCTTGTCTTGACCTGGACAAGAGCGGCTGAAGGACTTGCTGTGGTGCCTGCTGATGTCGAACCACACCTGCATCTCATGATCGTACCAGCACCAGTGCCACCATGACGGACCAGCAAGAGCCCTCCGACATCTTTGGTCTCAACGATCCAAACGGCCCGTATTACCAAGATAGCAACGATCCAAGTAATAGGGACGCGACCCTCACCGACTCCAACACCGGCAACCAACAATTCTATAGTGAACCTAATTGGACCTTTCAAGACACTCCCCCTTACGACACTTATGACACTAATGCATTTTACCAAGACGAATGGAATCTAGGTCAGCAGCCCGAACTGGACCATGGCCTCGCTCCGCAACCACCGCCGCCGCAGCAGCCCGCTGCAGTGGCCCCGTCTTCCATGGCACCCGGTCCCTCGAATCCACTGCCGACCGTAGGTCCGGTAGTGAACACTACTACGCTACAGATTCGACCGAACGGCGCGGGTCCGAGAGGCCTTACCGAAGAGCAGCGCCAAAAATTGCAGAATATCGCTATGCCAACCCAACTTCACTACCGTTCCCCTAAGAGCGAAGCGAGTCCTGATTCAGCCGGTCCGATTTATAAGTCTTCTTCCATATCGTCGCCCGAGGATCAGAGTCTGTGCTCCAAGTCGAATAGTCGCAAGCGAAAGTCGTCAGTGGAACTTGACGACGATGATGATGACGATCTTGATAGCCACCAACCAGTGAAAAAGACGGCTCACAACATGATTGAGAAGAGATATCGCACTAATCTCAATGATAAGATTGCAGCTCTGCGAGATAGTGTACCAAGTCTACGCATCATGTCGAAGAGCGCGAGGGGCGAGGACACGACCGAGGACAGAGAAGAGTTACACGGCTTAACACCTGCGCACAAACTTAATAAGGCCACGGTTCGTCTATACCAATCTTTTACACACTGGATATTGTAACTAAACTTGACGCATAGGTCCTAAGCAAAGCTACCGAGTATATTAGGCATTTAGAAAAAAGAAATATTCGGCTCGTCGATGAGAACTCGGCCATGCAGCAACGAATAGCTGCTTTCGAGAAACTCTTCATGGCGGGTGCGATGAACGGTGCAGTCAGTCCCTTGCAGCAAACGACGCCTTCCACGCCCATACAATACTCGCAAGAGCCTAATGGCTACGGAAACTCAGCTATGGGCACATCGGGTCAGACTGACCCCCAGGGTATGATACAGGTACCTGAAGATATGAAGCGTATAATTGCCGCCCAGTTGGCGACGGGTCAGCCGTATCCAGTACCGCCAAGGCCGTTTGGCGGTAATCACAATCCCAATTTGATACGTCAACAGCAAATCCAACAGCAACAACACCACATTCAAGCAAGAGGCTGGCAGAATGCTGGTCCTTACTTTGGAAAGTTGATGGTTGGCTCCCTAGCCGGGTTGATGCTTCTGGAGGCCGTTCGGGAGAACGAGCAAAGCAACGAGACGCCGGAGGGCCGTGGTCTCTTCGCCGTGCCCATACGCCTTCTCAGTTTACTTACATCCTCGTTGAATATTAACTTTATGGGTTATCATTTTCAAGGTGCGCAGGTATTATATTCTATTAGGGTTGCATTGCTGCTCTGTAGTATTTGGTGGGCTGTCTTCCCCTCGCTCATGGAACGTAGGCCACCAAGTGTGCAGGGTTCCAAACAGCAGAAACAGGCTTCCCTGAAAGCAGTACCATCTCTGGCATCTCCTATCCACGTGCGTCGTCAAGCATGGCTTACAGCCATCCAGACAGTCTGGGTCCCACGGCACAATTTCTTCCTCGAGGCTGCCGCCCTTGGTCTCAAGACAATGAAGCTGAGCCTGAGGAATCTCATCGGAATCCATGGTTATCAGATGCTGACGGGTCTTACGGAGGACGAAGAGCTTGCCCGTGTCAAGGCATGGGCAATCGCCCTAGACGCTCAACTAGCCGGAGGAGATGTCGAGATCAGCAAGAGCCGGCTAACTCTAACCTTGCTCGCTTCGGGAACTCTCCCCACCACACCACTTCGGTTGATGCTTAAGGCGCTCCATATTCGAGTTCTGTTGTGGGAAGTTGGCCTCTCCGGTATCCAGCTTGGCATATTCAACACATTTGCGTCTAAATTGGCTCGAGCAAAATGGAATGAGGCAAAACAACTACACAGACTCCTCACGCAGCTTCGCCGTGGCGGCCAGGAACAATCTGATGACGAGCTACCTGATCACCTAGCTGCCTTGCTTGAGCAAGATTGTGATATGGTCCTGAATCCAAATATCGTTCAAAGGGCACATAATCTCGCCTGGAACCGCCCAACCGACTACAACGCCATTGGAATCGTTGATGGTATGGATACTGTGGTAGAAGACTTGGCAGTCCGCTCGCCAATGGACGCTGTTGCAGCCTGGTGGTCAAACATGACGCTACAAGGTGCACTTACGAATAGTCTTCTGGCGCAAGAGGATGATGCGGACACAGTCCAACAAGTCGAGGATGATGTGTCACTAGCCATTAGAACCGCCCCGATTGGATCCATCGCCCAAAATCGTGCTTTGGTTGCACGCGCGCTACTCTTTGAGGAGAAACGAAACATCAACATTATGGCTGCATTGCAAGCTATTGGACCTGTAACCCCGGTTCTCTCATCAAATAGTCCCTTGGGCAGCCCTACCCGCATTGCGCCATCATCTCCCACCCCTATTAAGGTGCTCCCGCCTTCGCTAGTCATGACCACCGAGATGCGCACTGCTCTCCTATGTGCCATGGCCATCGCCCATCTTCAAAAATTCTCTCCCCCTGAGGAGCCTGTGGATATCTATGGTGTAATCGATCAGATCCACCCCATCAGTGAAATGGGATTGCTCGGTTACACCGCTACTTTCAAATTAATGGACCGACTTGCTAGTCATGAGTTCGCTGCAGAAGCTTGTGCTGATACGCTAGAGCGCCTCTCGGGGACACTGCGGATATGGACTGGGAAAGACTGCGGACTTGAGCCAGAAGTTCGGCACCAGATGATTGAACGATGTTTGACCGTAACCCGTGGTGTTGTTGGAATGGGCATCGACACCGATACCGGCTATGGCAGCAGTGAGTATTTATCCTCCCTTGGTCACTATTCAGTCAGTCATGATTTGGACTACGCAAAGCGTCTCCGATCCAAACCCAATCGACTAGATGCTAAGCGGCGTCCAACTTGTATGTTTACCTAGATCTAAAGCAACTAACTCGGATTGCAGTGAGCGAAAGCGAGGACGACCATAACGTATCAGCCTACTTCTCAACCGACACGGATGTCGTAGCCGGGCAAAAGCCCGCCGCTATCGACTTGGACGTTGCGTAGAGTCTTGCGCCAACCCATTTCATTTTCTACCTATTCTAGCGATAGTCCCAAGAAAGCTTATCCCTATGAAAGTCTATCTTGGTTCGAGCAGCGGAAGTCATGCATTGATGATGTTGATGATTATTGACCAGAGGTGGCCATTGTCACTTACATACTATACTAACATCACTACTTCATTATATATATCATTAGGTTGTTTTGTCATCATGTGCGGGATCGGTGCAATTCATGAGGGGCATGGTTCGGCCTCAAAAGCTTAGGGGCGTTCTGGGAAAAGCGGAAATATACTTACGGTCTTTAATGGTAAAATGGACAGAAGGGACAAATATCGGCGCTCTTTGGAGATGGTAGAGAAAGGACAGAAAAGGCTTTAACAGCTTTTACTTATGCGTCTAAGACGCCTTTTTAAAGCGCAACAAATACCAAAATAGTATATAATGCATGCGAGAGCTGCCAACTGTATTATATGTGTATATCTCCGTTCCTAGCAAATGCAGTATTCTCAGGCTTCGTCTGCAGCCTAAGCTTAGATGCTTTCGATCCTCACTTAGCATATGTTAAGACAGATGCTCCATTATAAGAGCAAAAACTTCATGGCATAATTAACTTAAAGCTACGCATATCCTGTTGGGGAGAAAGGCTGATCTCTGCCTGTTGTGTCGTTAGTGATAGAAGAGGCTACGTATGTAGCTAGCTCATTACAGCGTGCCATTTCAAGTGCTGACAGTCCAAACTCGGACTGAACTTTCCTACTCAGGCAGTGAGTGAGAATCTTGATTTTAGTGTAGTATATCCCACGTGGGTTCAACAAGTCTTTCGGGAAGCATGTAAAAGCCGCCAATTCTTCTGACTAGGTATAATAGCACTATTTCAACAATCCTACCCAAACATATTCCCAGTGCAAGCTACCGACTCCTCAACAGCCTTCTAGTCATGTGTCTCATATATATAGAGGCGGCCCATCGACTTTGGAGATGGATTGGTGTTTTAATATATTTTACCGTCTACTTCCGCATGTGATTGTAATAATCGCTCCGGGTATACGAGCCGCTCCATCTTGATCGGCGGCCACGAAGGAAACCCTCTCATGGCCTCGGGAGCTAGACGGGCAGGCATATATCCGCTTCACTGCTACCAAGGTACGTTAGCGTCCTGCTCATCCATTTTCGTCTCAGGACCGCGGTACATACTGTAGGTAATCCGTATATGTACAGGGCCAAGACTACCTAGGTATGTTGCCCTAGGTAGCTATCCATATGCAGAGGCCGGGGTCTGCGGCCAGAACTGTCCGGGAAACGTTCTTAATTTATATATGTAGGCATTGCTGACATCCCGGTGATCCGGAACGTGGAATCAGCTGTATTCGAGCCCCGTGCGCTGCTGCGAACAGCCGTTAAAAGGCTACTCGGAACCCCTTTCCGGTATTCGAGTGACACTTTGTAACCGTCTGGATGCCTATGAGAGTAGGTACCTAATTACCCAGGTGTGTAGATCGCCTCGACCTGTCTACCTGTGGCCTGAGATAGTTCATCTGTTTTATGCTCTTTCGGCGTACCCCCCCTCTCGCAAAACTCACAAATCTACTCACCTAACGAGGCGAAGGGGGTTGCATAGTATGTATATACTAATGTATACATATACGCGTGGGGGACACGAGGTTTCCCATGGTCTTACTCAGCACCTTCTGTATCGACATGGAACATGGATTAGGTGGTTGAACCATGGACAGGATAGGTTCGAGGAAAAAGCAGATCTATCTTATCTAATACTGTACTTCGCGCGTAAGCCGGACCCAGGGAGCTGGCCCGCCAAATTCCAAAACTGACGAAGCCGGTTCCAGGTGAGAGTGTTGCAAGGGTTGAGTACTAACCCCCTAGTGATAGCCTTTTCTCTTTTCCCTTTTTCCTTTTTAACCCCCTTTTTCTTCACCTGCTTGACCACGTCAATGCTGGTTGGATAGACGCAATCTCGGCCCCAATTCTATGAGTATCGACGAAGCACAGTCGTAAGTGAGTAGGCGGTATGTACCGTACGTATATTCTATGTCCACTCTCTCCGTTCATAGCATGCATGACCGGAAGACTCATGCCGAAGGTTCGAGACCTCGCATTCGCCAGCAGGTACTTACGGGAATATACGTACACATTCTCCATCCGCGGTGGGAAACGACTGGGAGTCTAGATGGATATGCCTCGAATAGTGCTCTCGGTATTGATAGTTTGCTCGTAGAAGGACTAGCTAGTTAATGCGGCTTGCTCGATCGGCCACCTCCATCTCGACGAACCTCTTGACCCCAGCAGAACGGCCCACAGCTCAGTTGTCACTTTCCATGTGGATTTGACACGGTAAGAACCTTAGCTATGTACCCTTGGTGCAGGTAGGTATGCATGTAGACGTGCGTGTGTGGCAACCCGTGTGGACCAGGCTTTGCTCAAAGCGAGCAAGCTTCCGTTCCTGGTCAGCCCAACAGTCTGCACCTAACGTTGGGTATCTACCGGCGACGGCGCCGCCCCAGCTAATTGGCATAGCATTCCCACCTAGACCCGTAGATTATACTAGATGTCAGTAGACGCCTAGTTGCGGCGTGATAATAAGGTAGATAGAATAGAGACACCGGGAATAAGGGATAGCTCGACGGAACGGCTACCAGAGACATTATCAACAGGAACTAGGAGGTCGACACGGGAATATCAACCCTCTTAAGGCTTAAGTGTCATATGACGGTTCTCCAGACGCAAGACATGCATTCAACAGTTCCCCAAGTCGCCGGTTTCCAATATGCCGTGTTACAGCAGCAGTGCTAAAGAATTATATGTCAACGGCCGGGGCGTCGAGGTTATACGGCCGTCGCCACTCACAGCGGGCCCTGTCGCCGGGCGCGCACATTATCTTCATGCGGACACCTGCAGGATCTAGACTGAGAAGGGCTCTCCTTACCGAAATGGGGTTCAAGCGTAGGGCTCAGGTCATCCCGACTTTCTCCTGAGATCTGCGGACTATTTGGGGTCATAGAAAAATCCAAGGCGTCATTTTATCAATTCTGTAGCTAGCCTATGAGGAGAGCACGTCAGACACTAGACGAATCAGCGGTATCGAAAAGGTCCGCTGACAAAATATACAAATATATCCGTAAGGCAGCACACCCCACACTATCCTGTCTGCCGAAAAGGTAGGGAATTCTGCAGCTATAACTGTTCAAGTATATGCCGTTAATATGCGTATCCACGGGACGGAACTCGACACCGTTCTTCCAGCGAGCGCACAATGGGGTTCGGCTTACTAGGGTTTAAAACTCACGATGAATAATAGCATAAACATCAGTTGACCACACTCACTCGTGGTTTTGGATTGGTGGGACTTTGTTTCCTGCTGCTCGTTCATGACTAAGTATGGTCTAAGGAAAGGGTCTTCTAGACTGGACAATAATTCCAAGACGAACAATGATCTGGCTTATTGTGCGCCTGGATCTGGCTTAGACTAAGCACCTTAACCATCGTGAAGGACTCGAAGAAGTGATTCCCACTGGGGTCCCAGAGATGTACCTAACCATTAGGGGTTATGTTTCATATTAACAATGCTCAAGGAACGGTTCCACGTCAACACAGACCGACTCATCATATTTCTCAGGTAGGTTAGCATGCATCGTTATTTTATCTGGATATCTACCTAGACCCCCTGAGGTGAGCAGTACACTAAACCAACCTCTCACCTGGCTTCGCTCTTCGTAATTCAAACTCCAAAGTAGAGGTCATGCCTCAATTAGCCTCCGGGTTTGCCTCGGCACTAATAGCTGCGATATAGTTGAGATCAAGCCTGAAGGGACCTTCCTGTTCGCCAAAGAAGCTGCCGGGAGAGGTTTTTAGCGATGCGAGATAAGAAAAAAAACGGTGTATGGACACAGGACAAACCTTCGCATCATAATGCTTATCCGTTTGATATGATCCAAACGCAAAGGGGCAGCATCCGGTTTCGGCTGTCCTCGATACGTGGGCTTAAAGTCGTCCCAGGAGGCTGTCACTTCTGACTCGTCGCCGGGCACAAAGTCGTACTCCCAGCTGACAGTACTCTCCTCCCTGCCATCCTCGCGATGAGACGGTATATCGTCCTTGAGAACAAGCGTGTACTTCTTCCCGTCGCTCTTGGCTACGCCGACGCTCAGCCCCTGGTAGTCGAGCAGGTCCCAAGACTGGGGGTCGATAGTCCGCTGCGAGGCAAAACCGGCGCCTCCAAGGGCAGTGATATCCAATTCCCCGCTGAACGTGGCCACGGTCGAATCAGCAGAGCATACAAAGAGGCTATGGCTCTCGCCACCGCGGACCTGGTCGTCGGATGGGCACCAGGCGTGCTCGTTCCATAGCCTTTGGTGAGTGTCAGTATGATGTGAGAAGGGGCAAAGGATATACGGTATTTATGGCTTCGAAGGGCCGTGACTTACTTATACCCGCCAAAGAGGTAAAATTTAGGTTCGCCCATAGCTATCAGATTTCTCTTTCTCCTTCCCTTTTCTTGGCGTTTATATATATTATACCTTAGGTATATAGAGAGAGATATATATATAAGTCCCGAGCGATCCTCCCTTACCTAACCCAGCGGCCAAAGATTAGTTTGCTTTCAACGTTGTCAGACCGAACCCAGAGCTTTCAACAGTCAAGTCGCAACGGCAGCAGTCTTGGAATGGAGACGTGAAGTCAAACGGTGAAGATCGGTCATTGCATTGAGGCTCAGGAACGAGGTCAGTGCACACACGTAGTCTTGAGCTTAGGGGGACTTGTCTCATAACCTAATCTGGATCTGGGTAGTGGTTATACCAATGCAGCAAGGTTTGCACTTCACGTAGCGTATATAGCGTATCTAGTATCATTTCTTTTTTTCCCCTTGGTTTTCTTCGGTGGTGGAGAAGCCGTTTGCGGTGTGTTTGCATGTCAAAGCTGGAATGAGTGCGGATGTAAATGAAAAAAATATAATATAAAAAGACACTACTTTATGCAGTTTAAAAGGTAGGTATGTAGATATAAAGATGCACACGTAAACTCTATATACCTTACTTAACTTAAGTAGTACACGTAACCAGTACTTAATATAAATAATGTTTGCGAATACCCACCTTATAGAGTATAGAGTTAATTAATAGCGTAAGATTACATAACCATGTTAGGTCAATGTACTAACGTTGCTTATTGCAAAAAAAATAAACTAAAGTCAGGTAGCATTGCAATATTCAACTTCTATCAACATCAAGCTTCCATTTTCAACGAGTAGACGACAAAAGGAATTAGCACGTGACGGAAACCGGGCCCGAGAAAAACCGCAGACGTAGCAATGCGCGAGAACTCGAAACTCGAAACTCGCGTAAAGCTCTCGGAGCTAACTCCCTGCTCGGGTCACGAGCTGTACGATTACGTCGCACGACCGATGAGGGGGATGGGGGATGGGGGATGAAGGATGGTCGTAGCCAAGTGGTAACTGTACCGCGCATTATCTGGGCGGATGCGACGTGAGAAAAAGGATCGGCCAGATTCGCCGCGTCTATTCGATAATTCGGTACCACTCCCATACCATTCATTGTCAGTCTCATCCATTTAGTCGATTCACGAGGCTTCTTGTTTACAGTCTGTCGCAAGTAGAATTGAGAGGTAAAATTAACTTCGATTTTTGCTAGTATTCCGAGCGCGAAGCTAGAAGCTCCATCTACTAAGTAACGGAGGCATTGAAATGCCATAAGGATGATGAAATATTTGCATTCCCCAAACAGTAAACTGGACATATTCGTGCCAATCCTTGTTCCATTCGCTAATATTCTCGCTCAGCTCGGGAGAGCCCTTTGTATGTATCATCTAAGGTCATATCAAAATCCCGTCAAATAACACCGCGCTGCACCTGGATATCCCTAAACCAACAATATGCACCACGGAGACGAGCCCTTCGTCTTCCATGTAAGATATCTCGCCCCGCCATGTCCGAGATAAAACATAATCCGTCCCTCCAAAGTCCCTATTCTCGGCCGTGCATTCGTGTCCTATCATACCTCAACACCCTAGCCAGCTATGAGCTATGAGCGATGTTGCCCGAGGCCGGGAGACCCTGGCATTGAGAGAGGTGTTGTCGGGTAGTCATAACCGGACTCTGAACAGTTCGCCGAGTGTTCGTACGAGTGTGAAAGCGGTGGAGTCTAGCAACACCGATCAGCTACGAGGTTCTCGGCGGGAGTAAGCGCGCACAGGACTCACATGAGGGTTGGAGTGGTCGTACGAATTTTGGTCGTGGACATTCATCCCTGGTACGAAGCCGTAGTTCATGTACGGAGACATGGTTTCTTCTGGATATGTCGCTTCCCTCTTGATAGCATCATTGAAGTGTGTCATGGGAGGAAGCGTGCAGGGAACATTCGTAGCTATGTAGCTGGGATAGCCTTCGCCGGTTGTAATTGGGTGATGGTAAGGCTGAGCCGAGTTATACGGGGGTAGAACCATCTCGTCGGGAGGAGGATATGCCGAGTAGGGCATAAACGGTGGCGTGTGAGACCGCTCTCGGTCGTCATACGACTGGCTAAATATTATATCGTCGTCATGGTTCATCGGAGGTGTGAATTGAGGCTGTACGGTCTTATGCGGAGCTGCGGTAGGCTTCTGCACCTTAGAGGAACTCGTCTTCTTGGTATTCCGCGTGTTACCGGACTGCGACTGCTTGTCACTCCCCGTGGGAGAAGATGCATCGTCCGAGGTACCGGCGCGCCTCTCGAGGTCTTCCAGACGCCTCTTGAGCTTCTTGCCTAGAGAAACTGTTAGGTTACTCGGTTACTGGTAAAAGGATTAAAGCTGGTCGCAACCTACGGTAGTTGCGCTGGGCAATTCGGTTCTGTATCCTCCTGCGTTCGGCAAGGTCCGATATCTTGGTCCAATCCTCATCAGGGTTGGCTGAACTGGAGAAAGCACTGCTGGTCCCGTGTGCCGAGTACTGTCTCGGCGCCGGCGCGGGTGGATATGAGTATTGATGTTGCGACATGGCGTACATTGACATTGTTGAGGGTGTATCTATCAGTGGTCGACTTGATATTGCTATGACGATATCGAGCAAGTGATAGATATATAGTGAGATGAGACGGTTAAACGTCGACGGTGGTTCGATGTGATTACTTCAGAACTAAGTTGCTGTCGAACCGAGATGGTGGGACATATGAACTTTCTGAAGCGGGAGGAAGGAATCAAATATATAGAAGTAGCCCTTTCAGCCATGGTCCATGGAAGCCGCCTTCGAGATGGAGGATTGCAGCCCCCCCATGCTTCTATGACAAGGCCTCAGCAACCTGAGTACCTGAGAGCGCAGAAGGTACATTTACATGTGTCTGTGTACGTAGATACGTATATTTGTATATACGTAGCTACGTACTTCCCATGAACATGGGTCCAGCTTAGACAGGCATATGATTGCGAATGCACCTGATTGTGCGTCCGCCCTTTCAATACAACCTTGCCTGGAAGTTGGGGGGGGTGTTGTAGCTTGCATCTGGGGCCAGTGCGAGGAGGGCAGAGCAGCGCCTCAATCTGAAGGAAGAAGTAGCGGGCGATCCATGGGCTGGAGTACGGTAAAGACAATACTCGCACGAGTGAACAAGGGTTCAGGTCAGGGGGGAGGGGTTTGGAGGGGTTTGGATAAGAAAGGGCTTGGGGTATGTATGTACCTATGTACATAGGTAGTTTATAAAATATACATAGATAAATACCTCGGTACCTCTATGATTATATATATAAAATAGAAGTAGCGGCTGTACCTAGTAGTTAGCAACAACCCTATCTGCATGGTCGCAGGGGTTTTGCGCAGCGCTCCTGGGCTTTACGATATGCATATACGCAGTATTTCTATGTAAGTAAAAGCATGGTGGAGTTCCCTAATTTTGCCCGAATTTTGCTACCTAGGACAAAGCGCACAAAAGTACCTAACACAAGTATCTCGCGTCCCGCGCGCTTGAGTAAAAGCAGCGATGGCTTTTAATTCTCCACACCTACCGCAACCCGCCGACTCGTAGGGCTGGCTCTTTAAGATATCGGCGCTATTAGGCTATTCGCTAGTGTATATTCAGCAGTTGACGATGGATCTTACGAGCCAAACTAGCCGTTGTGGAGAAGACACTCCTTAAACTCTTAAACCTCTAAGGTTGAGTTCTAAAATAATATGGCGGACATGGCCACTCCTATAGATTAAGAGAATCCAATGAATTAAATTTTTCAATACAGAAAGCAGAATGAACGGTTACTTGCAAGGCTATTCTCTTATCACCTCTCAACTAAAGGGAAGCGGGAAGCGGGAATCGGGAAGCTAGCTTTTTGGGGAGTGAGCAGGGCTTAACAGGGCTCAACAGGGCAGGGCAAGACAGGGTCCTTTTTTCTGGATCATGTCGCAGCCCAGCACGTTTCTGGAGTTTCGTTGCGTACCTTGACCACTCGTAGGGAGATTTGCATGGAATAAGTCCTAAACCCGTGGCTATCGCTCAACGCTCGCCCTTCGCTCGACAGACATTACTACTTCAAGACCAGACCTTGCTACTTCGGTATTGGACTTCGGTATTGGAATATGTGTCATCTAATAGCCGCACGCAAGGCGACGGCGCTGGGCAATAATCCAAATTCGAAAAACTATCCGACATCTTTGGTAGATATACAGCGCGCAGAATTTCTGGTCACAGAAATGATAAGCGAAGGCATTGCTAGAGCACATGACTTAGAATCCATGCATAGAGACTCTGACACCACTACCACTATCACTACCACTACCGCCATTTTTACTAAGGAACAAACTACAAGGAACCTGTAAGGCTGGGTGCCTTAGTTTAAAAGCTGAGCGTCAGGACTGCTAGGCAAGTCGGCAGAAAAGATAGGCTAAACCCCGTAGTTATCGAATCGTGCACGCGGGAAAAGAGAAGTCCTAGATAGGGATACGAAGCATCCGTAAAATTCTCCAACCAAGGGAACGCGCTAAGGACATACAGTAGCTAGTGATTTCAAAGTACCAATGACACGTACATACAATGTCCAGCCCTTCGAGTCCTTCGAGAAGGATGCATGGAAGGGGGGGCTTAGACAACACGGAAGCCTCCTCGGAAACTCTCTCGTCTCTTCGGAATGACGCCAAGCGATTAGATCTGGGAATGCCAGAAGAAACATGCGTAAGACATCTTTACGTAAAGCGGTAAAGTAATACGCGGTAAAGGGGTTGGATTTTAGTCTTCTGTCTTGGCCTCTCCTTGCTGTCCGACTTGTCAACATAAAAAAAAGGTGGACAAGAGAAAAAAAAAAAAAGGACCGCCATCTGATTCGCACGTGCTTCATAAAGATTCTATTTTTAGCCCGGCCCATTACAAAGCCATTTCTCGACTTTTCATTGGTTACCAATTGCCGCCTCTTAGGGCTGCTGGTCAAAACTTCTCGAAATGTTCTGTTTCCAGGACTTATTTAAAATAATTTCGCGTGCGTCCAGTCATTATCTAGAAGCAAGCTGATAAAAAGGTAAGCCCGATATACCGTAACTTCGTGGGAGAAAAGGATTCAGCCATGATCCGGCAGTCAATTCGCCCCCCTTAAGAAAGTAGGACCTTTTATTTATTTATTAAAAGCTTCTACCGTTTTCTCCTGTAGGATTTTTCGGTAGGTAGATCGCGTACCCCACAAACCTCATGTTGACAAATCATTTAATCCGTCACCTGGACAGACCAGGTAAAGAGGTGAAAATTCCAAAATAAGGAGCCATCTACTCGTGACTTAAATAAATGCCATCGGTGTGTATTGTTTAAGAGTTGTTTCTGCTCTGCCACGCACGGTGCTCTATATGTACTTACACCCGGAGAGACCGGACAGCCCGAAAGGGTGTGAGCAACAATAATGTCATAGACGGAATAGCGAAGGAGTCTTAAGAGGTTTGGCCTAATACCTCAGTAGTTACATATATCTTTAGAAAATATTCGATTTTTCCTACAGCAGATATGAGAATAAGTCCACCAATGAAAATATCTTCTTCCTCTTGCTTTCTCAGCCTCGTCCACCCAGAGTCCACGGATGATGCATGCATGTACCACATGGCTTAGACGACCTCGTTTTCTACCGATGTATAAAACGTCGCCAACCCTCGAATACACACAAGACTACATTATACATGTCAATTCTAGCAGCTAAGGTCTTTTCCTTTTCAGCTTCTATTTTACCCCTTAAACTCATCTCATGTGCCCCTTGGAATCATTTAACATAGAATTCGGCAAAGATCCAATAAGACCGATGTATTTCTGTAGCCAGCCACAGCGCTGGCGCCAGCCAATGCTCAGCCTTTCCTTGTGAATAGTAACCGTTTTATTCCGCTATCATATCACCACGAGGGCGAATGATTTTTTCATGCGTCTAAAAATATACACGTAGGTTTTTTTTTCAAGCCATAGTCGTCGATAAAGCTAGATGTACGCGTGACCGGGTTTTAGACACCTACTCTTCTCTATTCTGAAAGATTTTTATGTTTTTTTTCTGGTTCTTGTACCAACATATATTGCATATATTGGATGATATTGACTCAACGCTAGGTCTTCCATAGAGGCTACAATTCGAATTGTACCACCAACGGAGTCGAATTCGCAATAGCAGGGGGGTGTATGACTTGTATCCTCCGGGAGCTTCTCACTTGCTATTTCTCCCCCTAATCATGTTGGGTGCTGACGCGAGAAGCTTGGAGTTCCATGGAGCCGGCAAATTTACGTGGGTATTGCTTACCCTAGGTAGGTACCCTTCCCACAGGCAGCGGCACAACATAAGCCACCCACTATCTCGGGCTCGTCAACGTGCAAAGGTGTTTTAAGGTTCTCACTTGCCAAGAACCATTCCTCTGCGGAGGTTCTTTACAGCGGCGACACGTACATGTACAATGTGCGTCCCGCATACATGTAATAGCACATGTAATAGCAACGTTGACAGGAGGACAAATCAGGAGCCGGCCTCAGGTCACAGCCGTTACCAAGGATCTCAACGAAGAACGCCATGTGAGATCCAATCTAGACTACTTCCACCCGTTTTGGGACAGTTGAATTCTCCCGCAGATGTCGGTCATCTACCTAACTCAGGGGTGGCGTACTATCTTAGACGGATATGGCTACCTGACCTAAGTTTATTTCCGCATCGTTGTCGTTAAGAAATAGCAGCTAGGCTACTGGAGTTCTAGATTTCGGCCGCGAGAGATAATTCTCGTCTAGACGGCGATCCTACTAATGTAGCTGAGCTCCTTATCTCAATAGCCGAACAAAAACACCCCCCTTTAATATTCGGGGCCGTAGTTACAGATAGAGGAGTGCTTCATGCGACTGGCTGACAATCTTAATACATATGAGCACCGACTATCGTAGGACAAGCGGCTTAACCGAATAAGGAAATATGTTAGACAGCCCTATGTGCCTACATACCGCTAACTCGCGCGATTAGACCATCCAAGCGCCCGAAATCTCCGGGAATAAGTCTATTCCCCCGCTTTAGAACCCACATCTTAGGATCGACACCACGCGTCTCCCCCAGAGTTGAGGAGCTGTTCATCAGTAGGGTGGCGGAATGCGAAATGAGCATCCATAGCGCGATAGGGGGCGTCCACGTTGATTACTAGGAAAAGCCAATTGCAGCTAGTAAGTGGATAATAAGTCCGGCGTATATGATATATTAGCAATATATTAGCACGAAGGGCGTGGTCAAGCTTTATTATCTTTGATAGTTACATGGCGCGAACAACCTCATTGGAGCAACTTGTTAAGACCGTCTAGACTCTGGCCTACGCTATTTCGAATTCTACCGAGGCGACATACGTTAGAGGTAGTTCTTTCGCAAATTATGATCGAAGTCCCGTTTGAGATGATCCCATGGCTAGAGAGTTGATAGGATCTCAACAAAACGGCCCCCATGTTTATTCCCCCCAAGGTACGTACGTAGTAGATGTGCTGATGCACGCACGTTAGTGGCTTAGAGGACAAATCCTAAAGCAGGCAGCATACATACAATCCATGTCCCGTCGCGTGGCATGAAATTCAAGTATCATAGTGAGAGAATTAAAAGGCTCACATATGCATAAACCCCTGTGCTTTCCATCTTGCCTACTTTACCATCATAAAAGAATTTACAAATTAGATGGTGTATGGGCTGAATTCTAAAACACCCAAGTCCTAGGACCATTGCAGCTATTTCGTTAGTGGGCCGCAATTATACGGCGATGTTAATCAGGAATACGGACAGAACCCTGATTCCCGGCAAGCTAAGCTTGCTCCTGCGCGGGAAACGTGGATGGGAAGGACGTTGATAGGCAGGGTCGCATTTTTTTGTAGCATACGGATCCGTACTATGGTATGTATTATGGAATGCGGACTTAAAACTAAGCGAAAAGCCCTACGTCCGGCCAAGACTATCATTTATATGCCGTGTAACTATTTGTTATATATCCGCAGCATGGTTTAGAACATTATCGCACAGTTTTATAAATAAAAATACACCGTGTACATTGTCCAAGTACCTAGGTACATTACCTACATGAGGCGGCAGCAAGTTGGGCTAAATACGCTGTTTTAAGCAATCCCCCCGCAAGCTGAATTAAGAGTAAAACGTCCAATTCCAATCGTGCCTAATTTGGCAACTTTTAGCTTTTATTCCCGTTACCCCTACCCTAGCAACCCGCTATGTAGGGAACTCATTAGGGAACTCATCCTAATGTATGTACTGTACTTTTTTCATCTTCTTATCTCTTATCCAACCAAACTAAACTAAACCAAAGACATAAAGAATACGACTATGTGATCCTCTAAAGGTCTTGATGATGCTATGGCGTGGCATGCCATGGCCAGCCATGCGGTGCGTATGTCTTTACCATGGTGTAATTCTTGCGGGATACGAAGCAAGGACAAGCAGATAGTTGACCGAAGTTAGTCACGCGGCCTACTGCATTTATGTACTGCTGCGTTACTCTCGGCACCGGCCTTTAACACCAGCGGATCGCGCGGCGTCCGTGTTGTACGAATTATTTTGTTTTATCACCCCGTCCTAACAACCCTCCGCTTTCTTGTACAAGATCGCTAAATTAATATTCGCATCTAACGGCACCGAATATCTAACAGCATATGTCACCCTTCTTTTTCGGCAGTCTGGCACGAATTCGAATGGGTGCTGACTGAACCCGTGCCTATGGACTTGGGTCGCGCCAAGAACGCATCTTGCCAGAGAAACACCCTGGTTATCACACCACCAATACCAATATACGGGCTACTGGTTACGGGTTTGGCAATATATAAAGGTGGTTTAGGTACATAATGTAGTCAAACTCTCACGCCCCGATCCATCAACTATGCATGTACGATATACACACCCCTGTGTCTTTATTTGATGATACACCTACATACCTACATGTATCATATCTCTAGGTACTTACTTGCGTAGGTACCTCCCATAATTAGGTACACCTGCTGTCCTGGCCTCCCAATCCCCAAACTTCTCCAGCCAGTTCATAGGGCTGAATGACATCCGCACTTTATTGCCGTCCCCTACTGTATGTACGGATGTATGTAAGTAAGCAGGTGCCAGGCACATCGCTTCTTTCATATGTAGAACTGGCAAGTTACATTATACGCCGAGGAGTTCCAAAAGGGATATCGGCCTTAGATATTCAAACCCCGAATATAGATCTAGACAACATACGGAGAGCCGCAATCGCCAGCTATCAGTCGACACAAGCAAAAAGGCTGTATCTGTATCGCAAGAAGTTACCTACGATGGCGTCAACCCCCGTATTTCCGTATCTTCCTTTGCTCTATCCCCCTGTAGCGGTAGCAGCACTAAACAAGCGCTAGAACAGTAATGGCGGCGATAGCAGCCGAAAAGGAAGCAGCACTAGAACATTGTAGCGGTCTGACGATAAATTAACTGACGCACGAAATGCACGGAGCATACCCGTTGCGGTACTGTTGTATGTATCTTTTTATTACATAGCGTCTTTAGGGATAGAAATGGTCAGAAGAAGGGGGGGAGGTTAATTCGCCATTGATAACACTCGCACAGCATCTTTGTGGGGATCAGTAATATGTAATCACCAAGCCTATTTTTCTCTTTGCTTAGCAGCGGGTCTCGGTGTTGCCGCTGGCTCGCATGGCTGGTGCTGTCGTAGGGCTGAAGACTAGTTTCTGTTACTCTCTTATGCTCCTATGAGATCGCAGCGCTTACTTCCCCTCTATCTGACCTGACGGCTAAGATAATAATACCCCGAATTAATCTCTACATACCTACATACTTACAATTCTTCTTATTAGTCTACTCATCTCATCATCTCATCAGCTCATACACTACATACATACATACAATCGAGATAGCCTACGAGGCTGATGACAATACGTAGTCTTTCGACCTAGCGTTTACATAGTAGTTTCAGTTTTACCCCTTGCTTGGTCATCTCGCTGTCGCCGTCTTCTATTTGCGGATATGCGCAACTTGAAAATATCAGCCGCAAATACATCCTCATTCTGCCTA